CCTCCCCATGTCTGTCTGGTCCACGGGAAGCACGAGGAAACGAGTGCACGGCCAGCTTCTCTCAAGTTCGTTCTTCTCCTCTCTACGCGGATCACGTTGTTCTACAAAGCCCTCAGTTTTGTCCACGTGGCAGCCCAGGCTTCGTCGTGTGGCACAGCCACGCGTGGGTGAGCCCGGGGCCGCGGGGAAGTTCAGCCGTAGGAAGATGTGTGCGCTTGCAAATACGCAGGCGACACGCGGCAGGGCCTCTTCCCCGGCTTAGCGTCCGGTCCCACCTGTCCTGTTCTCAGCCACGACGAACAACCCCCAAGTGCGACGACGCTCACAACCATTTTCGGACGAGCGTCGTCACTCAGGAGGGGCCGCCTCGGGCCGCCGCGCCCCACGGAGGCGGGTGCCCACGCGCGCCACAGCCGCGATGCCAGCGCCGCGGGCCTCCCACTGCCCCGCGCTTCCCTGTGCGCAGCCTCCGGGCGCCCAGCCCTGGGCACCTGCCGCGGTGTCCTGGCCCCAGTGGCCGAATGTGCCCCTGGCCGCCGGCCCGACCCGAGACCTGAGAGCCTCTGGGAGCCCGTGGGACGGTGACACCGTCTGCCGCCGGCCCGGCTGCCGGGTGACCGCTGAGCAGGGTCCCAGCGGGAGCTCACTGACCGCAGGCCTCCCTGTCCTGGGCCTTCGAGGCGCCACAGACCAGCTGATCGGAGAGGAACCTGAAGCCTGGGAAGGCGGCCCACGCGTTGCCATTAAACTCACGTTGTTGTCACACCTCTGCCACCTCCTCTGCGGGTCGAGCACTTGGGATCGGGGCGCCGAGGGCAGCAGCCAGGCCTGTGGGGGGCAGTGCGTGGGCCTGAGTCTCAGGGTGGGGGCCCTTCCCCCGGAGGCCGCGCCGCATCCAGCAACAGTCTGGGGGCGTCCGAGCTGCCAGGGACGCGCTCCGCATGCGGGGCGACCGGGGACTCTGCGGATGTTGCATCCAGCACACTCGTGGGGGCGGCCGGTCCCCCGGAGATGCGCCTGCGGCCGGGGGCATCCTTCCTGCTGCAGTGGCCGCGGCTCCATGCCGGCTGAGGGCCGCTGGCCGCTGGGTCCCGCGGGGCCGCCTCGGCCGGGGGCTGGCCTCCTTGCCGTGAGACCTTTGGCTGGACTCTCCTGCCCGCCCTGGAGCTGAGGACGCGGGCCCTGCGGCCTGGGGCTTGGCGCCCACCGTGCTTGGCAGGGCCCGATCGCTGCGGCCGGGCCCCTGTCCCAGAGTGACCCCGCTCTCCTCCACGGGGCTCCCAGCGGCACGGCCCTGGTGACTCTCCTCCCAGACACGGCCCGCGGGCTCCCAAAGGGGACGCTACGGCTTCTCTCTCCTCTGTGGCCTGGGCGGGGAGGGCGGGGAGGGCGGGGAGGGCCGAGGGGCCGGGCAGCCGCTGTGTTTGTTCTGCGACATTTGAAACAGCAGAGCTCTCGTTCCCGTGAGACCCTGTGGGCAGGGCCGTGGGAGGGGGCCACCTCCGGACCGGCGCCGTGCCGTGCGCTGAGCCCGGCTGTTTGGAACCAGGGCCGGTAGCCCGGGTGCCGGGGCGGAGCTGCTCCCACCCGCACCCCCGACACGCCCACCAGCGGGGAGCCGAGCCTTCCTGGGCCGGGGGCTGCTCCGTGGGAGCTTGTGGCTGCGATCCCCGCCCCCCCGCACTGGGGAGCCCTCCCTCCTGGCGTGAGAGCATCCTGAGGCCCAGAACCTAACTTTGTAGCTGTCATTGCACGTTTCTTTTGATTTTATTTTATTAGTATTTTTTAAAATCCAGTTTGTTGATTTCGGGGGGGCATCTATTGTCTGCCGTCCTTGCGCGCCCACTGGGTGGTGGAGTCTGCAGCCCGAGCCCCGGGCCGGGGCCTGCAGCTTCGTGTCCTTAGCCGGCGGGGTCGGAGCTTCTGGTGCCGCGGAGCCGGGACGGCCAGGCTGGGCTGGGCAGGCCAGGGGGCCCGTCCGTGCGGGGCCCCGGCTCAGGGACGCTGGTCGCGGGGCAGCCGCAGGCCACGCTGCGCTTGGACGGCACCGGCTGTCGCTGTGTGTCCTCCCCTCCGCCCCCTCATCACACGAGGACGCAAGGGGTGACGCCCCCGCTCGGCGCCAGCGGGTGACGCGCCAACAACGCCTCCCGGGCTGTGTCCCGCGGCCCGTGCCCCGGGTCGGCGGCTTCTCCCGGTGTCTTCTGCGCCTCCTGGACGGGACCGACGTCCCCACCTTGGCTCTGCCCTAGGGGCTGCGTTTTACAGCGGGGGTGGGGGTGGCACAGGGCCGGGGGCCCCCGGGTCATCGTGCCAGTCCAGCTTCAGCACATACAAGCGGGGGCCCCCGGGGGCTGGGAGCGAGGGGGCTGCAGCAGAGCTTGAGAACCAAGGGGAAACGCGAGGACGCAGGGGCGGCTGCGGGCTTGTGCCCGCGTGTGCGCACGCGCGTGTGTGTTGGGGCCGTCTCCTGCCAAAGCCAAGCTCCGCATACTTGTGTGCTGACGGTTGAATCCTCCCTGGAGGGCTCTTCCCTGCTGGTGAATCTGAAATGGAAATGACTCAGCAGAAAGGAAAGCCCCGTGTCGAGTGACCCCTGAGGGGACCGCGAAGCCCGAAAGCCTGCAGGTTCCCTGTCCCCACCAAGGCCTCGTCCCCCCGGCAGGCGGGCCCAGCCCCCGCGGTCCCTGCGGAAGCCCCATGCGGGCTCGTCACCTCGGGGCCCCTCCTGCCCGCAGGGAAGACCTGGCCGGCCTCAGGCAGAGGCGCCGGCCGCCACTGACTCTGCAGGAGGCAGGCACCGGCCTGCGCAGGCCCAGAGATGGGCCCTGCAGAAATGGGTGACCCGTGTCTCCGCCACCGCGGCAGGCACCCCAGACTGCCTCTAGCTTTCGGATCCGGGAAGGGGGACTGTCTGGAGGGACAACTGTCCGCCGGCCAGACGCGCCCAGCGCCGGGCGGGGCTGTGTTCCCGAAGAGCCGAGGCTCCGTGACCCCGGGGGACGCTGGGAGGGCTTGCTCTCCCAAGGCCCTGGCCCCGTCCTTGCACACAGCGGGGAGCGGTCTGGCCCGTGTTTTGCCCACGGGAGGCCGGATTCCATGTGCCGCACGGCGCACAGTCATTATCCGAGGGACCCGCCCTGCAGGCTCGGGCACGGAGGCCTCGGTAGCTGCAGAGACAGCCCATGGCGACGAGTGTGGAGGTTCAGCTGCCCCTCACGGGACCCAGCGCGGCTTCGGGGGGAAAGGCGGCGTTTGCTGCTCTGCAGACGTGGGGGAGAGAAGGGAGCGCGACGCCCGCGAGGCCGCCCGGCGGGCGTGGGGGGCGGGGGCGCGGGGGCTGCCCGTGTGCTGAGGACGAGGGTCTGCAGCACCAGGCCGCCCGCTGCCCACTCCCCACGCTGCGCCAGGGGGCGGGGCCTGCTCCTGCCGGGCCGCGCGGTGAACGCCCCGCCGCGCCCCAAGGCGCTGCTTCCCGCGCCCAAATCTCCGTCGCCGTCTGCCTTTCATCCACCTGCGTGTCCGTGATGCCTGCCCGTTCCGTGGCTGTTTGCCGCCTCTGTCTGTCATCCTCCTCTATTCTGTCTCCTGTCTGTGCATCGTCTCCGCGTATCCTACCTGACGTATCTGTCACCTCTCTGTAAGCTGCCATCCTCCGTCTGTCTGTGATATCTATGATTTGTCTATTTATCATCTATCGATTTATCTATCTATCGTCCACCCCCTACCTATCTGTCCTGCCCGTGGGTCTGTTACTCATGCATCTAGCAATCAATCGACCCGCCAAGCACCCCTCTCTCTCTGTCACCGGCACTCGCTGCGGCAGCAACACAAGACCTGCCCTGGGGGCCTGGGATCGGAGCGCGGACGCTCCGTGGTCCCGCAGTGCCCAGAGCCCGCCCGCGGCCGCGGGTGCGGGAGGTCATGCGGGGGATTGCTCCACGTTTTGTTGCTTTCAAAAAATATCGCACCGACAGTGTCTGAGGGCCCCCTTGCCCCACATCCGTGCCCGCGCTTGTTTTTTATTTATGTTTTTAACCGTAGCCGTCCTGACGGGCGGGAGGGGCAGCTCACTGCGGTTTGGATTCGCACTTCCAGACGGTGAGCCGCGCGGAGCACTTTTTAATATGTCTGTCTGCTGTTTCTGTCTTCGGGGAAATGCCTGTTTGAGTCCTTAGCCTATTTTTTAATCCGATTCTTCTTCATACTCTTACTGTTGCTGTTGAGTCGCAGGAGCTTCTTACGTAGGCTGGTATTCTGGACGGTTTACCCATCGTCCTTGGTCTCCTACTGCGCCTCCGCCGGGTGCGGGCGTGGGGGGCGGGGGTGCCGGGGCTGCCCGTGTGCTGAGGACGGGGTCTGGGCGCTTGGTCTGCTCCTTGCTCTTGGGGCGTCGTTGCTCTCGACCTGCCCGGGGAATGAAGCGAGGAGGCATGTGCATGTACGTGACCTGCGCATGTGCACACATGTCTACAAATCCCCGCGCATGAGGTCACGTGCGCCTCTGCTGAGTGCACATGAGCGCGTGCGGTGCCTCGCTCCGACCCGTCACCTTGTGGCCGTGCCAGGGACGCACGTCCACGGTGCCACCCGCAGCTCCTGAGTCAGGATGCTGTCGACCGTGCACCTTATGAGAGGCCAACATGGTAAGATCACCGAACGCTTCTCTCTGCGTGATGTTGGCGTCCACATCAACGTCATGCAGACATTGTAAGTGTAGGTTTTACTGCCTCGTCGCTCACGGTTTGTGCGAGTGCTGGTCTCGGAGACGCCGCGCCCGCCTGGAGTTTGGCGCCGTTCGACCCCTGAGTGCGAGGAAAACCCTGGTACCGAGAGACGGCCGACGTGCCCCTCGGCTCTCGGGTCTGGGATCCGAAGTCCGAGGTGCGGAAGCGAACCCCGGGCGCGCGGCGGGCCGGGCGCGCGGCGGTCTCACGGCGTCGCCTCACTCACGCCCTGTCCTTCTCTCCCCGGCTCCCCGCGGCCCCGGCGGGCTGCAGGCTGCAGGTCGGTCGCCGCCCCGGAGATGGCCCCGCTGCCCAGGACGCCCTTGCTGCTGATCCTGCTGCTGCCCGTCTGGACTGCTACCAAAGCTCAGGTCAACCCAGGTAACGCGCCGCTGCGCGCCGCCCGCCGCACCGGCCCGACGGGCAAGGCCCTGGCGCCCCCTCGGTGCCCGAGCGCGTTCTGCCGGCTTCGCGCTTGCGTAAGTGGCAACCGATGACACGTAAATTCTCCTCCGTGTCTGGCTTCCTTCGTGCGGCGATTTGTCTCGGACGGGTGTCACGCTGTTGGTGCCTTTGCGACGGTTCTTGTTGTCGTGCCGTTACTCTGCGTGTGTTTTAGCCGCGCCGTCTGCCGCGGGGGGAGTCTGGGCCACGTCCAGTCCGGGCCTGTTGTGAAGAGATGTCCTGTGACCTCGTGCATCCAGGCCTTTGGTGCATGTGCGGGCTCCGTTCCCCGGGGGTGTCCCCAGAGGGGAATTCCTGGGTCGCGGGCCCCCGTGACCTTTTCTTTGCATCCTGCCACCAAGTCTTCGCAGGCGCCTTTGCCCACAGGCCAGGTGGGCGGAGGGTCAGGGCCTCGCCTGTGGGGACTGGGCTCCGGGGGGCGCTCTCGCTGCTCCCTTCCCACAGCCTGAGGTCTTCTGCGGAGATGCCCCCCTTGTCCTTGCAGAAACTCCACTCCCAGGCGCTGCGTAGCCAGCAGCAGGTAGAGTCCCTAGGAAGGGTTTGGTTTAACGAGGCGGGCGCGCCGTGGGCGCCTCCCCCCGCCCCCCGCCCCGCGAGGCTGCCGCCCCCTCCTACACCAGCACACCCGCTGCTGCGGCCCTGCCTGCGGTCCCCGCCCTGCTGCCCGGAGAGAGTTGCTGCGAGCGCACCGAGGGCTGGGCTTCCCCCAAGGGGCCGGCGCAGCGCGAGGGTGTGTGCATGGTGTGTGCGGTGTGTGCGTGTGGCGTGTGCGTGTAGGCTTGATGCGGCCCGAGCGGGCCCGGGGAGGGCGAGGCCTCCCGGGTCGAATTTCTCGTCCGTGAGCTGGGCCAGGGGTGCCTGGGCTGGCTCTCCCTTGGTTGCGCCTTTGCTGGCTCAGCCCCCGCCCCCCCCCGGGGCGGCCTCCCGCCTCCTTCCTGCCAGTGAAAGTGCCTCCCTCTGGGGACACAGAAACCCGTGGGCCCCTGCCGCCCCTCGATGGTGCCAGCAGGGGGCGAGAGAGTGCAGGACTCGGGGAGCGCGGCGGCAGACACGCACCGAGCCCGCAGTGCATGCTGGGAGCCGTTGGCCGGGGCGCCAGCCCCTGTGACCCTCCGGGTGGCCTTGTCCGGCGGGTCGTCCGTTGGGTCAGCTTCGCGGAGGAGGAGCCGAGTCCCCGAAACATCGGGTCACTTACCCAAGGCCCCCGGCGGGGCTCGGGGCGGAGCCGGGCTGCCGGTCCCCCGGGCAGTGCGCCCCGGCCGCGGTGCCCTGGCCTCCCGCGGAGCAGCCCCGGCTCAGGTGTCGCCCAGCCAGGCCGTCTCAGGTGTCTCCCTTGTGAGAGACGAGAGTGTGAGCGTGAGCTGGCGGCGGAGCCTTCGCCGGGTCAGGCGGACGGAGGAAGGAGAGCGTCCGAGCGGAGACGAGGAAGGCCAGGGGCCCGTGTAGAAAACGAGAGTGTGCGCGGCCCCGGGGGGCGGGGGGGCCCCAGGCCGGTGGCGCCCGGACCAGGCGCCTTGTGACTTTGGGATCCTGAGGGTCTGAGGAGGCGTCTCGGCTCCCTCGCTCCGCCTCCACCCTGCCTCCCAGGGCGCGGGTTCTGGGTTTCTAAGTTAGAGTCTGGATTTCATGTGATTTTTAAATTTTTCAACAACTGCCGACCCCCTCCGGCCATCTCTCCCCTCCTCCGCTCCCCGTCTCTGGCAGCCATCGGCAGGTTTGCTTTTCCATGAGCCGAGTGTTTTACGTTGTTGTTATTTTCGTTTTCGCTGTAGCTTTTGCTGTCTTAGATTTCACACATGAGAAATGTCACGTGGTGTTTGTCTTGCTCTGACCCGTCTCGCGCAGCCTAACTCCAGGTCCCCGCCTATTGTTGCAAATGGTAAGATTTCATTCTTTCGTGTGGCCGCGTCATATTCCGTTGAACAAACGCACCGCGTTTTTGTTCACTCATCTGTCGACGGGCGCTGAGAGTGCTCCCAGGCCGTGGCACCTCCAAATAGTGCTGCACGGGGTGCGGGGAGCAGGCGCCTTCCGGAGTGAGCGCTTTCGTGTTCTACGGGTAACGCCCAGACGTGGAATCGCTGGGTCACACGGTGGTGCTGTTTTTCAATTGTGGAGGACCCTCCACACTGCTTTCCACAGTGGCCGCACCAAGGCACACCCCACCGACAGCGCGCAAGGGGTCCCCTTCGCCACGTCCTCGCCAGCGCTTGCTATTTCTTGTCTTGTGGATACGCTGGCCATTCTAACGCTGTGCGGGTGGCACCTCCCTGTGGTTTTGACTCGCTTGTCCCTGGTGATCAGAAATGTTGGGGGTCTTTTCGTGCACCTGTTGGCTGCCCGTGTGTCTCCCTGGAGAAGTGTCTGTTCAGACCCTCTGCCCATTTTTAATCAGACCCCCCTCCATTATTTTTTTTTGTTTTTTATTTTTGCTATCGAGTTGTATGGGTCCTTCACATGCTTTGGATATTAGTGGATATTGACCCCTGACAGACAGACGGTTTGCAGGTACCCTTTTTCCCATCCGGGAGGCTGTCTCTTCATTCCGTCGACAGTTCCCTTTGCCGCACAGAGGCTTTTTGGGTTGACGTGGTCCCACGTGCTGTTCTTCGCTTTTTCTGCTTTTGCTCTTGGTGTCAAATTAAAATAAAAAAACACCTCCAAGACCCATATCAAGGAGCTTACTGCTTGCATTTTCTTCAAAGAGTTTTATGGTGTCTGATCTTATGTTCAATTCTTTAATCCGTTTGGAGTTGGTTTTTGTGTGGTAGAGGTTCAGTTTCATTCTTTTGCATGTGACTGTTCATTTCTCAATGTAATTTACTGACGAAATGGTCTTTTCCCCATTTTATATTCTTGGCTCCTTTATCATTAATTAATGATCACATATTCACAGATTTCTTTCTGGGCTCTCGATCGTATTCCATTGATTTGTGTGTCTATTTTTATGCCCATACCATGCTGTTTTGATTCCTGTAACCTTGTGACGTAGTTTTAAATCAGGAAGCGTGATGCCTCCAGCTTTGTCCTTCTTTCCCAAGACTCCATTGGCTATTTGGAGGGTTTTTTTGTGATTCCATACAAATTGTAGGGTTATTTGTTCTACTTGTAAGATGCAGTCAGAGTTTTGACAAGGGTTGCCTTCGATCTGTAGGCTGCTTTGGGCAGAAGATTTAAACACTATTGACTCTTGCACTCATGAGCATGAAATATCTTTCCACTTTTTTGTGTCTTCTTCGATTGTCTTCGTCCACGTTCCGTAGTTTTCGATACCTGGGGGTCTTCTACTTCCTTGGTTAAATTTATCCCGAGGCATTTTAATTCTTCTCCACACAACTGCCGATGGCATTGTTTTCTTCGTTTCTTTCCCCGATAGCCCGCTCTCGGCGCACGGAAGCACAGCGCCCGTGCCTGTGCCGGTTTCGGGCGCCGTGACAGGCTGTGGGCTCCTTTTGCCGCCGCGTGTCAGCTCGTCCGGGGCCAGGGCGTCCTGGGACTGAGACAAGCAGCGGTGTCCCCCAGCCGCCGTCCGGACCGTCGCCACCTCGGTTCTTCTTGCCCTCGAGGCCTTGCTTGTGGAGGGGGCGTGGCGGCGGCAGCCTGGGGTCACAGAGCTCGGGGCTCCGCCCGGCAGCGGGAGGGGACAGGCCTGGACCCCTGTCCCAGCTCTGTTGTCTCCAGCCTTGTGGCTTTAGGTGGCTCGCACTCGGCTCCCTTAGGGAATGGGCAGCATAAGCAGCTCTCGCTTCGCAGGGGCCAGCGGAGGCCGCGGAGGGCAACGGGCTTTGGGAAGTCACGAGCAAACATGAAGGGCTGGGATTCGTTACTTTTGGAAGAGAAGGAAGTTAAGTAACCCCAACACCGTGCAACAATGGCTTCTGTCAAGTAGCCAAGGGAGGAAGAGAGAGAGAATGAGCTCGTTAGTGACCACTGTGGTCCCCGAGGCCTCGAGGGGGACTCGGCGACCTCTGGGGGTGTCCTGCCGAGCCCGCGTCGGCCTGCCAAACCGCGGGGGACGCCGGGCCTGGGGCCCAGGGCCCGGGCCGAGCAATTCTGCGACGGTGTATTTTTCTGGGGAGAACGGCCTGATTGTTGACTTGGCTCTTGGTCTGAGCAGCTGGCCTCGGCAGAGCATGGATGTGGCAGGACTGGCCTCCCAGAATTTTCTGGTGGTTTGGACACACACGCAGTAAAGTTCAGACATTGAAAACTGTGAGGTTTTGTGGGGATGGGGGTAGCTGACCTCGAGTAGGAGGTGACGAGTTGTTTAAAGACCTGTGACTGCTCCCTGCTTCCCAGAGGTTTATGGCCTCGGCCACTGTCTTGGGTGTGTGGGGGCGATCGTGGGGGACCCGTGACCGACACCGGTCACCGCACTTGCTTCCAACAGCAAGCGAGGGGTACGGCGGACTCTGCAAAAGACGATCTAAACGAGGCCGCGAGGGACGTGAGCTCACAGAGGTGACAGGAAGCTGAGGAGGAGTTCGCGAGGCTCCTTTAAATGGCGGGGGTGCTAAGCACAGAGTGAGCCAGGAGGTGACAGAGGGACGGACGCACAAATGGACGGACGTCGCCTGGGCTGCAGTGCTGAGCGCCCCCGCCCCCCGGCCTGAGGTGCCCCGCCGCGGGCAGCCACGTGACGCCGGGCTGGTCGCCTCTTCCAACGCGGGCCGGCGCCCTGGGCTTCCGCGGGGGCTCTGGGCCCCACGTCCTGGTCGGCCCCCCGAGAAGCCGCAGCGCCCGCCTCCACCGGGCGGAGCAGGGTCCTCTTCGCTCTGGGTCCCGGGCCGGGCGGGAGCTTGGTCCTGCGCTGCTTCGTAAAGACTCCTGTGTGTCGTCTGGCGCCCCATCCCTGGCGGGCCCTGAGCTCTGACATTTGTCTCGTCCGACTCAAAGCGCAGCTCAGCCTCCGCAGCGCGTCTCCCGAGGGGTCTGCGCTGCCAACTCCACAGCCCGGCACCTGCCACGTGCTGAGCGGGAAAGACACAGCCCCTCGAGGGGACAGTACCAGGTCCCTTTGGAAGCTCTGGGCTTGTCCCGCAGCGACCGTCTGCCTGGGCCCACGGTCCACCCCTTGCCCCAAACTGACCATCGGCTAAAGCGGCCACAGAGGAGGCTCCGTCCCCTCCCGGCGCCTCCACCTCCACCTCCACCCAGAGCCGCTTGGCTGTCGCGGCCTCGGTGCCCGTCGGCGCCTCGTGAGACCACCGGGGGGTTGCCCTGGTTCTTCTGTTTCTTCTCCGGGGGCAGCAGATTCTCTGTCCACCACATGGGACAAAAGGTCCACCACACGGGTACCTCGTGGCCAGCGTGAGTCGTGCTAAGTTTTACTTTTGAATTGGCCGCTAGGAAGCTCAGAGCCCTGCTGAGGCTTGTCACCAGCCAAACATCTGGAACCTGGTGCCACGCGTTTTGGCTATTAACCTGAAATCGCCCAGCTGGCCCTAGTCCCCGTTTTCTCTCCCCTGTGCTACATTCCTCCCTCCCTTCTTTCCTGCCTTCCTTCCTTTCTTGTCTTATACAGCTTTGGAAGCTGACTCCAATCTTTTTTTAGAATGTGTCCAAGTGAAAATAATTACACAATGAATAATTCTTGACCTTTGCTAAGTGCCGTGGCCCCCAGTAGTGGACACACGTGAACTCGTAATTTCTCACAGAATCTCCTTAAAGAAGCACCATTATAGCTACTAACCTGCAAGGCTGGGCGCGTAAGTAAGTGGCCTCCCTAAGCCATAAAACCTCGGAGCCGCTTAAGAAAGCGCGAACGCAGTATCCACGAGGAATGACCTCCCCCGCCAGCGGCTGAGCCCCGCTGCCCTCAGTGCTCCGAGTCCTTCGTCTAGAGGGGTGTCCAACGTCTCGGAAGATGTCGAAGACGAACTTCTCCATCTTGATTCCGTTTGGCTTCTCGGGCTTGACGACCCGGCCCTGGGAGTCCACGCACGGAACCTTCTTCTGAGCCACGTGGTGCCGCAGCTGAGGCTCGTGCACACTGCGCGGGGGAAGGAGGCCGTCGCTGTGCGGACGCAAAAGCCGGCGACCCGTCCGCCACGCTCGGGGCCAGCGCTCGGCCGCCGGGTGGGAGCCCCTCGCCAGGGCGAAGCTCTCCGGGTCCCCCCGCTCACGCCACGTCTCCCCCACGGCCCCAGGCTTCCCGCCCGCTCTCCTCTTTGCCCCCAGCTTCCTGAGACCCCTCCCAGGTCAGGGTGGGAAGTCGGGCGTCAACAGCCACTGCAGGTGAATTAACAAGCTACAAACAGCGCCGTGGACCGCGCGGCGACGGGGACCAGGAGCTGACGTTCTGAGCGGGGGGTGTCCAACCTTTTGGCGTCCCTGGGCCGCACTGGAGGAGGAAGAGTCGTCTTGGGTCACACATTAAATACACTGGGACACGTCATCACAGAACAGTCTCCTGTTCTAAGTGAAGTGACGCCTCCATCCTGGGCCGTGTGTGGCTCGCGGGGGACAGCTCGGCTGGGCCGGGCTGGGTCTGCGGCGCTGCCGACACAAGGCCAGGAACAGAGGTGCAGGGGCGTAGTGACCTGCCTCGGGGGCCCGTCTCCGGAAGTGGCAGGACCTAGTGCCGCGCGTGGACAGTTCGGCATGTTCCGCCCACTTGGCCGCCCCCAGGGGCAGCCGCGGAGCCGTCTTCGCTGGCCTCCTCCTCATGGGGGGGGGCGATGCATTGTGACGCCGCCCCCCGCCCCCGGCCCCCGGCTCTGGACCCAGCTCAGCTCGGTCCCCTCCTGGGGCTCAGCAGGAATTGGTCCGGGGACGCCTCTGTGGCTTCGGAGGGGACTGCAGCTGGGGCAGCAGAGGCCTTGGCCGAACAGCCTCCGCGCCCCGCGGACACCGGGCAGCCCGCAGCGCGGCTGTGGGGGGCCGCCCTGCGTGCCGGCTGCTTTCACGGGTCGCCCCGTCCTTTCTGGGTTTGGAGGAACTAGGCCGTGGTAGCCTTGGGCCGGAGAAAGAGGGGCCAGGGATCGGAGGCCCTCGTCCCAGGCCCGGCCACCTGAGCCGGCGGAGGCTCCGAGCGACGTTCCCTCCGTGGGCCGTCGCACGGGCCGGGCTCCTGGGGGCCCCTCCTCGCGCTGTCTCACTGGTGGTTTCTTTTCCCACTGGTGCTTTCTCAGCCTGTTTTGACTGGTCTGGGACCCTCGCTTTCCCTTCTGAGCTTTGGAACAGCTTTGTCGAGACAGAAATGCCCGTCTCCGAGGGTGGGGGCGGGCGGACGTCTTCGCCGCCGAGCGCTTCTCCCCGCGACGTCGCGCGTGTGCGGCGTGTCATCTCCCAGCAGCGTTGGGAGCGCCCGGCGGGCCCGGCGCGCCCGGCTGCCCTCACGCTGGCCCCTCCGCCGGTCTCCGGGCGTCCTCGCGTCCCTGCACAGAACAGATAACTTCGCTTTTTCGCCTTTAAGGCTTTATGCTGTTACAATCATTTTATGTTTGTGTATGTTGCAAGCCACGCGCTATATGATCATTTTTGTTTAACTGGTCAAGTACCACTTAGAGATATGAACAACGTTTAAAATCATCTCCTGTATTTCCTGTGGAATTGCCACTTTGAGCGGGGAATTGCTGCCATCTTTATTTCTGGTCCTACGTTCAAAACACGTCTCTTTTCTCTGTCTCCTAAAAGTTCCTCTTTGTCGCCAGCTTTTAGCAATTGGGCCCTGACATCCTATAACACAGTTTTCTTCGTGTTTCTTGCGCTCTGTGTCACAGAGCTTCTTGGGTGTAGAATTTTCATTAAACGCGAAAACGCTGCCCCCGTCTTTGATTCACGTAGTGTCCTGTCTTCCTGCCTCCTCTCCTCCAAGGGGTCTGTCAACCTGCGAGCCGGGAGGTTGACGCGCTCCGTCCGCATCTTACTGATGCTCTAGCTTTGGGTCGACCGATTGATTGGCTTTCTGTCTCGCCTCGTTTTGGGTGGTTTCCGTGGATGTTTCCGTGGAGACCGTTGCTTCCGTGCATCATCCGCCCTTCGTCCCGGCCCGCGCGTTTGGTCTCAGGCGCTCGGCTTCGACCCTGGAAATCTCCTCTGCACGCATGGGCCCTAAATCGCGTGCCAGGCTCTCGTCTGGGTCGGGCCCGCAAGGGCCCGGGCTGCCGCGGGGTTTCCGCCCACTCTGCCTTCTCTGCCGGCGCCGCTGCCCCCCGGGCAGCCGGCCGCTGTGACGGCGGCGCCGGTGCCGTCCTGACACTCGCCGCCTTCGCGCCGGTCTCTCGGGGGGCGCTGCCCGTGGCTGTCTGACAGCTGCCGCACTGAAGCCCAGCGTTCCCCGCACTCTGCCCGTGTCTTCTCTGCCCGTCTGGTTCACCCAGGAGAGCAAGCCTGGCCCCCGGCCCCCGCCCCAGGCAGGAGGGGAGGCCTGTCTCTGAGCGTCCGGGGCCCCAGCTCGGCGCCGTCACGGGAGCGTCCGCCGGATCTGCGCCCTGGTCCCCGGAAACCGGCTCCCTGGAGGGGATGCTCTGGGTCGCCGGGGGCCCGGGTCGCGCAGAAAAACTGTTGGGGACCCGCGCACCTGCTGATGACGGGGGAGGGGGAGGAGGGCGAGGCCCCGGGCGTTGCCCGAAGGGAAGGAGAAGTCAGCCAGTGTGCTGTGCTGGGTGCTTGTCAGAGATTGGCCCGGAGCGTAGCCGGGCCTGGGGTCAGGGCACAGACGATCGAGGGGCACCCGGGTGGGGGGCGCAGCCCGGAGGAGAAAGAGGCTGAGGGTCATCGTGATGTGGCCGGGGTCACAGGGGACTTCGGGAGACTTGAGGCCACCTTGTCCACATCCAATGACCCCGTCCCTTCTTCCGGGGCCTCCGGAGAGACGAATGAAGGTGTCCTGTCTTTGGTTTCTCCCGGTCCAGCCGTGTGCCGCTACCCCCTGGGCATGTCGGGGGGCCACATTCCGGACGAGGACATCACCGCGTCCAGCCAGTGGTCGGAGTCCACGGCTGCCCGATATGGAAGGTGAGGGCCGCCCCCAGGGCGGGGCTGGCGGGGATGGGCAGGGCTTCACGGCGCCGCTGCGCCGGGAGGGTTCCGGGTTGGGCCGTGGGTGCTGCTCGGGCGATGTCCCGACCACAGCGGCCACGAGCCGCCACGGGGCGGGGGTCCGCGGACCCGCAGGGGCCTGCGTTGCCTCCTCGCGGTGGGCGGGGATGCTGCGGGAAGGGGCAGCCTAGGCAGGACCCCGGGGTCAGAGACCTGGGCCTCTCCCCGCCGGCTTCTCCGTGAAGCCTCGCGCACTGAGCGAAGCGCCCACACGCCAGTGGTGAGGCCCCCACGCGTCCTCCCTTCAGGCACGGGCAGCCCAGCGAGGCGCGTGGGGTCCTCCGGGGGCTCAAGCTCCTTTGTCAAAGCCACCTGCTCGCTGGGCCCGCCCCCCGACCCGTGATCTAATCCCCTGGGGGAGCAGCGTTGGTTTCTGCCCCCCTGGCATCGCCGCAGGAACAGCGCCCCCTAAATCCCACCTGCGAGAGCCCAGGGCGAGCAGGGGCGGGTAGGAAACGGGCACCAAGGAGCCAGTGACGCCTGTGGGTGAGGGCGCACTGTGTGGAAGCGGGGACGCGGCCAGACGTCCCCACGCGGGCCTGGCGCCGATTTCACAGCCCCGTTCACGGGCAGCCCGACACGCGCCTGCCCTCGGCCCGCCATGCGCCTCCACTCTGCCGGCGGCCGTGCCCTTCCTGCCGGCGACGCGGCCCACGCCGGGGACCCAGGGCCTGTCCCTCCCCACCCCGGGACCTGACCCCTGGTGGCGCGGCCAGCGTCACCACGCTGAGACAGTTGGCATGGGCTCGTGCACAGCCGTCGGGGGGCACGCAGTGCAGGACGTCCACCGAGACCCCGGGGCAGGATGGGACTGGGCCCCGTGCGACCCAGAGGCCTCTCGCCCCCAGTGGTGGCCGTCCTCCGGGCCCTGGGCCCACGGCGGGGGCGGGGGGCAGCCTAACGTGGGTGCGATGGCTGCCGTCTGACCACTGGGGTGAACCGAAGGGGTCCGCCGGGCCCGGAGTCCCGCCCCCTCCCCAGGACGGGCAGCTGCTTGCTCCGGGTTGGGACGCACGCCCAGGGTTTCACGCACGGTGTCCCTGTCCCCCACCCCTCATGCCGCAGGCTGGACTCGGAAGAAGGGGACGGGGCCTGGTGCCCTGAGGTCCCGGTGGAGCCAGACGACCTCAAGGAGTTCCTGCAGATCGACCTGCACACCCTGCACTTCATCACGCTGGTGGGGACCCAGGGCCGCCACGCCGGGGGCCACGGCATCGAGTTTGCCCCCATGTACAAGATCAATTACAGCCGGGACGGCAACCGCTGGATCTCCTGGCGGAACCGGCACGGGAGGCAGGTAGGCGGCGGGCGCCCAGCCCCCGCGGCAGCAGGGGGGGCGTCCCGGGCTGTGTGCGCGGCTGCGCATCCGCATCGCGGCCCCGCCCTGGCCCGCGGGGGACCCGGCGTGGGCGGTGGGGCCGGAGCGGAGCTCCCAGAGCGCTGGCCAAGCTGAGGGGTAATTCTCTTCTCGAAGCGCAGGGCGCGGGTCCGACGGGGCGAAGGCTCGGTCACCCCAGCGCTGTCCCCGCCCTCTCCCAGGTGCTGGATGGGAACAGCAACCCCTACGACATTTTCCTGAAGGACCTGGAGCCGCCCATCGTGGCCAGACTCGTGCGCTTCGTCCCGGTCACCGACCACGCCACGAACGTGTGCATGCGGGTGGAGCTGTACGGCTGCGTCTGGCTGGGTGGGTGTCCAGGAGGGGCTCGCGGCCCCACCCCCGGGGGCTCAGCCTCCCCCCTGCGCGCTGGAGAGCAGGGGGCCTTGCGCAGCCGGCCTGGCGGGGGCCCTGCCTCCCCCCGGCAGCAGGCGGACCCCTTCTCGGGGCTCCACGCCCGCGTGCGGTCCTGGCGCTGGCCGGCCGGCCCGAGCGGCCGGACGCGCCCTCCTGGAGGTGCTGACCGCCTGCGTCTCCCTCGGCAGATGGCCTGGTGTCCTACAACGCCCCGGCCGGGCAGCAGCTGGTGCTCCCCGGGGGCTCCGTCATCTACCTGAACGATTCTGTCTACGACGGAGCTGTGGGCTACAGGTAAACGCGGGGCTCTTTGCCTATCAGAACGGGACAGTGGCCGCTAGAAGAGAATCCTTGGGGTCAATAATCGATCAATCCATCAGCCAACCTGCCCTGGGCATTGCGAGATCATTTAGCGTCCAGAGGTGTCCCCCCTGCGGCCCGCGGGTCGCATGTGGCCCAGGACAGCTGTGAACGCAGCCCAACACAAACGCGTACATTTACTTAAAACATCGTGAGATATTTTTGTGATGACACATCACAATGTATTTCACGTGGGGCCCAAGGCAATGCTGCTTCCTCCTGTGTGGCCCAGAGACGCCCAAAGTTCGGACTCCTTGATGGACGAACTCGAATACGCAGCCTCTGCTGGCAGGAGGGCAGGGCCCGGTCCGGGGGGACAGAGCAGAGACGGGGAGACTGGGAACTACCCCCTTCCCAGGTGGCTCCGAGGAGGCCGCCACGTACTGTGACCCTTACCGCCGGGCGCGGGGTCCGACCCCAACAGGGGCTGACGTACGGAGGCAGGGGGCCGCCGGAGCTGAAGTTACCGGTGTGAGCCGCCGGACGGGCAGGAGGTTCGGGAACTGAGGCCCCACAGCCGTAAATGCCTTAGAAACTGTGAGGGGCCGTGGACCCCCGAGGCTTGGCATCAACAGGGCGCGGTTTGGGGGCGAGCCGGTCGTCAGAGCGGGGCGGGGGAGCGGGGCCAGAAACGGACCGGGCCGGGTGGGCCCGTGGGGCAGCCTGCTCAGCCCCCGCTGGGGCTGGGGCTGGGGGACACCCGCCCCACCTGTCCCCCGGGCGCCGAGCCCGGCCATTCGTCCACCGTGTCAGCGCCTGTGTGTCGCTTGGCTCAGCCTCGACCTGCAGAGGTGGACCTGGGCACAGTGGTCAGAGCCCAGCGAGGCCCAGACCAGAGGCAGGAGGCTGGTGACCCTGGAGCGAGGAGGCCCAGTGCCCCGCGGGCCGACATGGGGGCGCAGGCCGCTGTCTCTGCGCATCAGCCGTCGCCAGGGCGGGCACCGGGCCCGCTGGGCGCGGTGGGTACTTGAGCCGGGCGCCGCCTTTGGCCCCAAAGCTCGCAGGCAGGGATGCGGCCGCAGCAGGGATGCGGGACCGTGCACAGGAAGGAGCCAGCGGTGCCCGGGTGCCCCGGGGTCTGAGGAGGGGTGAGCTGAGAGGCAGTGCAGCCGGGGCTGGGCACCCTCGGTCCTGCCTCCAGGGCGCCTGCCCCGGCCGCGAGGCTCAGGCGGCAAGACGGGCGAGGAGAGCGTTCGGTCCCGGGGAGGGGCTGCCTCCACGCAGGGGAGCCGGTCTGGCCTGCTGTGGGGGGAGCTCGGAAGGGACCCCGCAGGATGGGGGCGGCCCAGGCAGGGGGTGCTCGCAGGGCATTTGGGTCCCGAGAGCACGTGAGGGCGGGAGAATCGCCGTGGTGAGCAGTCGGGGCGCCGCGCCATCAGCCAGGCCGGTAGGAGCGACGCTGGCGAGGCAGACGGTGTCCTGGTTTGGGGCCTGAACATCCGGGCCGGCGGGGCGGGGGCGGGCGGGGGCGAAGAACAGCGCGCTGGCCCGCGGTGACTCTGGGGCCGGGGCCGGGAGGGCTACCCGCGCGGGGACATTGGCCACGTGGCGCAGCATCCGTCCTGCTCAGTGAATCTCCTCGCCTACAAATTGGATTAAAATGGGCGCTGAAATTCCGCAGGGCTTCAAAAACACGTTGCAACTACAGTTTCCTTTCGGTGTCAGTGTGCGTCGGTTCCAGGTGTCCGGCGTAGTCATCGGGCACGTGCGTGGTTTCCGCAGTGCTCGGCGGGGGAGCCGGGCGCCCGCCTGGCCCCGCACGGTTGTCAGGACGTCACTGGCTCTTCCCTGGGTGGGACTCCACGTCGCTGTGCGATTCTGCAACTGCCAATCTGCGCTTTTTAACCCCTCCCCCGTTTCCGCAGACGGGGCGAAAGGGCTGCCTGCCCCGGCCCTTCCGTGTGATGCCCGGTTGGGCGTCGGAGGCTGAGTCGGGAACCCACGGGCTGGACGAGGACCCCGCCCATTCGGGGGCGAGGCAGCTGCCCAGCAGCCCCGGGGCCGTGCAGGCGGCGGTCGGGGCTGTGTGCTCGCTCGCTCCGTCCCTCCCTCCCTCGTGGATTCGTGAATGAACGCAGTTGACAGCATTGAGTCCGTATAAAGAGATGCGTTAGAGTCGGTATTTAAGAATAGGCAAGGCTACGGTAGCTTAGAGCGAGCGGGGAATGACTCAATGATGCTGAAGCGTTCTGCTCCGGGAGAGGGAACCAAAACCGAGCGTTTCCTGCAACGCCTGTCTGTGACAGGGCATCGAGCGCGGACGCAGGCCGAGGGGGTCCGTGCTCGAAGCACGGGGTCCGGCAGGAGCGGGGGCTGCTTGCCTGTGGCGGGTAGAGTCACGATACAGGTGTCAAAATTTACAGTTTCAATTTGAACGCTTCCCCTACAATGTCCATGGTGCGCTTGAGTGTGATACTGTGACGCCACAGGGCAGGCGCATGACTTTGTACTAAGAGGTTTTGTGCTAACAGGGGGCGTATTCGCGCCGGACCCCGTGTATTGACTGGGGTCTCCGGCCCCTCCGTGGGGACTGCTTCCCCGGGCCCCGGCCGCCGCGGGGGGAGACCTGCCCCTCACGGGCGGGCCCTCACGCGGCGCCTGTCCCTCTCCCCCCGCCCCGGCCGAGCAGCATGACCGAGGGGCTGGGCCAGCTGACGGACGGGGTGTCTGGCCTGGACGACTTCACGCAGACCCACGAGCACCACGTCTGGCCCGGCTACGACTACGTGGGCTGGAGGAACGAGAGCGCCGCCAGCGGCTACGTGGAGATCGTGTTTGAGTTCGACCGCGTCCGGAACTTCACCACCATGAAGGTCCGCGGGGCCGCGGGGCGGGCGCCCAAGGCCGCCGTCCCTCCTGCTCGGGGCTCCACCTTTTAACAACGCAGCCGTAAAATGTGATTTTAGCAACGCAGTCTAGGGAGGGAGGGGCCCAGAGAGGCACAAGCCCCAGGGCTGTGGAGGCGGTTCCGTGGCCCATTGTCCCCGTGGGGCGGAGCGCTGACTGTCCCCCCCAGGGAGGGGCCCCCCGCAGGCCGACCTCCACGGAGAGCCTGGGGCTTCGCACTTCCACCGCTCCCCACCCACAGCGCTGGGGTCCTGCTAGAAGCTTCCTGCTCCTCTGTCCCTCGGTCCTTCTCTGTGGTCATTTGCGCCGGTGGTTCTCTGGGACCTCAGGCTCCTCCCAGGTGGGGACTGTGCTCCCTGACCCCTGTCCTCGCCTTCATAGCTGAGGACCTCTGTGTCCTTTGGGCACAAGGAGGGGGAGGGCAGGTCGCAGGAACAGGACCCGGGCAAGTAGCATTTTCTTGAAGATTTTATTTATTCATTTTTAGAGAAAGAGGAGGCAGAAAGAGAGGGAGAAAAACATTGACGTGTGTGTGGTGGTCCCTTCCATGCCCCCCGATCTGGGGACGCGGCCCGCCACCCAGGCCGGTGCCCTGACTGGGAAGCGACCCCTCGGTTCACGGGCCGGCGCTCCGCCCGCGGAGCTGCCCCGGCCGGGGCCCCCAGCGGCGCCTGCTTCCCCGTGAACACACGCGTGCAGGAGGAGCTCAGGGGCCCGGCCCAGCCAGGGGAGCCGGTTCCGAAGGGAGGCCTCGCGAGGGAGCGGCCGTGTGCGCCTCTGCGGGGCCGGGACGCCGGCCCCGGGAGCCCCGCGCTCATGGCCCTGGCCCCGCCCCGCCGCAGGTGCACTGCAACAACATGTTCGAGAAAGGCGTGAAGATCTTCAAGGAGGTGCAGTGCTACTTCCGCTCGGAGCCCAGCGAGTGGGAGCCGCACGCCGTCTCCTTCCCGCTGGTGCTGGACGACGTCAACCCCAGCGCCCGCTTCGTCACCGTGCCACTGCAGCACCGCATGGCCAGCGCCCTCAAGTGCCAGTACCACTTCGCCGACACCTGGATGATGTTCAGCGAGATCACCTTCCAGTCCGGTGGGGGCTCGGGCCCCAGGGAGCGGCGGGGGGGCGGGTGGGAGCCCCGGCCGGGCCGGCGGCTCCTCGCTGGGGACACGGGCACCTGCGGGGGACGCGAGGGGGCCGGAGAGGACAGGGTGTTCGCTGGGCTCTCACGGGTTTGTCTAGAGGACCCGGAGCACGAAAGGCTGGAAAGGACAGCAGGACGCGCTAGAGACGCCCGACCCACTGAGCCCCCTGGGGGGCGCCCTCCAGCCCCTGGCACAGTGTTGCAATGAAGATTTCTAAAAATGCGCAAAGTCAGAACAGCGGGCGCCTCCCCCTCAGGTCTCCTCACTGTCACGCCCGCTTGCTCTATTGTCCCTTTTGCTGCCGTATTTTAAGGCAAATCTAAGACATTGCCTGCTTTTCTTCCTAAAGATGTGCGAACACCTCTCAGAAAGTAACGGCGTCTTTGTCCGCACGTAGCGTCTGCCAGCGCTCGCTCATCAGCGCGGCGATGGCCGCCTGTCGCCTCGGGGCCTGTCCACGCCCGTTGCCGGCTGCCCGGCGCTGTCTCCCTGCAGCTGGCTGGACGGCGTAGGGATCCGAATGGGCCCTCTTGGGGGATTTCCTTAATTATAGTCCTAAATGTCTGTTTTAATCAGAACCAGCCCTTTTTGAAAAGCTGCGTCTGGTTTGGCGGACGGCGCAGGCATGCAGACGGGATGCTGTAGCTACGGGCTAGTTTCAGTCTGTTGCTTTTTAAAACTTTTTTTCCGAGGTGAGGGGAGCAGCCGATTGTTTTATGAGGGAAAATTTTGCCCGATTGGCCCGCGGGAGTGTCCAGTGCCCCTGCCCCAGGCCCCGCTGCGTTTGTGTCCGTTTTGCGGACTTTAGATCTTGCGTCTTACACAAGCGTGATGACAACCAAACCTCCCCCTCACCGTTCCTTAAACTTTCTTGTACCGTGGCACCTAGTGCGTAATAATGTAGACAAAAGCGTTACAAAAGGCAAGCTGCCCGCACCGCAGATGAATGGTGATATTTTTATCTAATAAGCTACGTGAGGTCATTTTGAAGAAAGGCAGGCGGCAGCCCACAGAGTGGACTTCTTCCTGCGCTGGGCCGCGGCCTGCCCCCCGTTCCCCGCGGCCCCGCGGCCCTGACCGCCCCCCACCTCCCCGTCTCTAACAGACGCCGCCATGTACAACAGCTCCGGAGCCCCGCCCACCGCGCCCGCGGCGCCCGCCACCTACGGTAGGTGCAGCTGCGCATCCTCCTCGGAGAGGCAGGCGGGAGGGGCTCCTGCAGGGGGTGGGGGCTGGACGGCGCGGGGGGGGGCCGTCCGTGCGGGGGGCCTGGCCCCAGGGGGAGGAGGGGCCCCGGGGACGCAGACGCTCACCCCCAAAGTTCAGGGCGCTCGCACACTCCCTGCGCCGCAGGGTCACTGGCCCTGCAGCCCAGCCCAGGGGAGGCGCTAGTCGCTGCCCTTGCTCCCTGTGAGCTCGGGGACCAAGGGGCAGAGGCAGGGAGGGGACGTCTCCACCTGCGCCCCGTGGTGGGGGCGCCCTGAGTGGGCGGGGCTCCGTGAGGCCCTCCGATGGGAGACAAACATGCAAACGTGTGCCTGTTGCCCCCGGGTGCCCTGGCCCCAGGGGCAGCCGTCTGGGGGCCCCGTGACCCCGCGGCTCCCGAGCGGCCCCGCTGCCACCTTCCCCTGATTCAGAGGTGCCCCCCGCCGCCCCCCGTGCGCCCCGCTGTGATCAGGGCCCGGAGACCGGCCGTGGTGATCAAGAAACAGAGTTTTGTGAAGCATAAGAAACCTGCCCGTTAGCGAGTCTTACGCCCAGGGAGGAGGCGCAGGAGGTGGCTGCTGTCCCCGGGGGCGGGGGACGGCCTGTGGGGCCCGGGACCCAGCGGCTGAGAATCAGTGACCGGGATGAAGCGGAGGAGCCAGGGTGGCAGCTGGAGGGGTCGTCCTGCAGGGCCCGGCTCGGCTGCCCGTCCCGGTCCCAGCCGAGGGCCGCGGCCCCGTCTCTGTCTCCCCGGTCCAGACCCGATGCTGAAGGCGGACGACAGCAGCACCCGCATCCTCATCGGCTGCCTGGTCGCCATCATCTTCATCCTGCTGGCCATCATCGTCATCATCCTCTGGAGGCAGTTCTGGCAGAAGATGCTGGAGAAGGTGGGGCGGGGCCGGGGAGCGCGGGGGGCGCGGGGCCGGGGAGGCAGGGCCGTGTCCATGGCCTCGTTTCAGGAGGAGCCTCCCCAGGGAGCCCCTCCCGCGTGTTAGGTCTCAGCCTGGGCGCTGCCTTCTGAGGATCTGGTTCCCGGGGCAGGGGTGCGGGCGGGGGAGGCGTGTGCATTCTTTGTCCTCCCCCGAGGACAGTGCTGAGTTTGGGGGGGGCAGGGGAGGGAGAGACGCGATGTGAGAGAGAAACATCATCGGTTGCCTCCCATACGCACTCAGACCAGGGAATCGAACCCACAGCCTTTTGGTGGGCGAGACCATGCTCCAGCCGAGTCCCCGGGCCAGAGCCAGCGCGTGCATTTTAAATAAAATATTAACAAGTGATTCTGTGGACAACCGATACCAGAAATCGCTGACGATACTGTTCTTTCTCTTCTTTGCTGTTGGCTTGTTTGGTGTTTTGAGGGGTGTGTACGTGTGTGTGGGGGGTTAGAAAACATCCAGCCTCCCCAACGTCCCCGCCAAGCCCCTCCCAATTCTGCTCCTACTTCTCTGCGTGCAGAAGGCGAGGGTCGCCTGTCCCTCCGAGTCCCTCCTGGGAGGCCTTCTGTCTGCGGCCACTCCCGGGGGCGGCGGCTCCGAGCGTGTCCTTCGAGGGGCTCGGCCCCAGGCGTTGAGCCGGCGGCGTGCGGGGCGCCCGCTGAGTGCTGGGTTTCTTCTGCACGTGGGGGGCCTTCCAGGCCGAGGGGGCGCGGCGGGCGTCTGAATTTCTTGGTGACCCCCACTGTGCGCGGGGACGAGCAGAGCCGCGTGCGTTCGGGTTCTGGCCCGCTTTGGGAGCAGCGGGCCGGCCGCCTCGGACAGGGTGACGGCTGGGTGCTCCGTTCCTGTGTCGGGTGTAACTCGCCTCGGGGCCCCTTGGCCGTCCTGCAGCCGTTTTATTTTTTGGTTCGTAAATTTGCGGGGCCCCAGTGACCACGGGAGCCAGCGACCCGCCGTGCGACGGCGCGTCCGGTGTGTGAACGGGCATTGCGTTTACACCGGATCGGCGCCGTGCAGGGCGGCCGTCGGGTCCCTCTCTGCGGGCCTGTCCACAAGCCTAGGGTTGGGGTCCCCGTCGAGCCCGATAGGCTCCTACAGCGTCAGGCCCGCGAAGCCGACGGGGCCTCAGGGGCGCAGGCAGCACGGAGTCGGGTCCCCTTTGCCGCGAAGGAGCGCGGGGCCGTCCTGTGTCACACGGCTTCCCCTCCGTGCTGCGTGCGGTGCCGCGGCGTCCGGCGTTGGAGAGCCGGGCCGAGAGGAGGCCCCGGGCCTCTGTGCAGCGAGCCCCTCCCTTCCCCCCCGCAGGCTTCCCGGCGGATGCTGGACGACGAGATGACCGTCAGCTTGTCCCTGCCCAGCGAGTCCAGCATGTTCAACAACAACCGCTCCTCCTCGCCCAGCGAGGAGCCGGAGTCCAACTCCACCTACGACCGCATCTTCCCCCTGCGCCCCGACTACCAGGAACCTTCCCGGCTCATCCGCAAGCTCCCGGAGTTCTCGCCAGGGGAGGAGGAGCCAGGTGGGGCCGGCACGGGGACGTGGGAGGGGCCTGGGTCAGAGGGAGCCGTCCTAGGGTCTGTGGGGACAAGTCCCCCCTCCCTCCCTGGGAGTCTCCCCTCATCTGGGCGCCTGTCCTGTGGTCCTGCACCGAGGACCTGTGTCAGGAGGGGGGGCCGGGGAACCAGCACGCAGGCCGGGGGAAGAGACACAGCCCCCCCGGGCGACTGCCTCAGTTACAGCGGAGGACGTGCAATGGGGTCGCCCAGACCACGCCTCGCCAGGGGGCCTGGCGGCCTAGTCTCCCCGGAGGAAAAAGCCGGCAGCGCCACCCGCGCCCTTGAGTCCCCGTCTGTCCTCCCCCCGGATCCCTGCTACCTCCTCGGAGCTGACTTCTCCCACGAGACTTTATTAGGACAATGACCCTTTCCCAGCGTCGTTTGGTCAAACTGGGCTGGTTGACTCACACCCCAGCGTTTCTTGAGAAACTCGTGTGGGTCTGTGGGCGGCATCGGGGGGCGCTAGGGGTGCGGCTGAGGCCCGGCTGCCCGTGAGGTCGGCTGTGAAGCGCGCCCCACGGGGACAGTCCCGGGGAGACAGACCAGCTGCGGGAGCGGCAGCTCGCGGGGGCCGCCGCTCTGAGGGGAGAGGGAACTCGCGCGCGGCTGCGCCCGGGGGATGCGGGCGCCGAAGAGGCCGCCGGACTCGGGGCCGCGCAGGCGGCAGGCGCAGGGTGTCAACAGGCTTTTCTAGGCTGGAGGACGCGGCCCGTTTTCTGAAGTCTGAAACACCCCCCTCATATTTTAATGTTTTTCTTTTAAAGTTAGGAAGCGTCTTACACTGGGTCATATAAATGCAATCAGAAAGCTTTTAAATACCTGAGCTAGGTTATTAAATCCGCGACAGTGTCTCGCGATGAGAGAAACAGGCTGTTAGATGGTCAGCCTTTAACACTCCTGCCTGACGGGGCGCGAGCCTCCCTGCGCAGCTTCCCCGCAAGGCCACGCAGGGGCCGAGCTCCCGTGGCCTGAGGGGGGCGAGAGCCAGACCCGGGGCCCCGGGAGGGGGGGCCCTGCGGACACATGCCTGTGCCCCGCCCCGCCCCTCAGGGCTCCCTCCCCGCAGAGCCGCTGACCGACCTGCCCTGCCTCCAGGCTGCAGCGGCCTCGTGAAGCCGGCCCCGCCCAGCGGGCCCGACGGGGTGCCCCACTACGCAGAGGCCGACATCGTGAACCTCCAGGGCGTGACCGGGGGCAACACCTACTCCGTGCCGGCGCTCACCATGGACCTGCTGTCCGGGAAGGACGTGGCGGTGGAGGAGTTCCCCCGGAAGCTGCTGACCTTCAAGGAGAAGCTGGGGGAAGGCCAGTTTGGGGAGGTGAGTCGGATCCCTGCGGGGCGTCCAGGCCTCCCTCGCTCTAGGCCGGGGCGAACCCAAGTGTCCGGAGAAAGAGCCGGGCGCCCCTTCCGGCGTGGACTTGCCCTCGGAGTCTCCTCCATGTGCCCCCCCGCCCCCCCCATGTTCCCCGCGGGCACGCCAGTGCCGGGCCCCCATCCTGGCCGCGTTCCGGCCGTTTCCCTGCGCCCCCAGCGGCCGCGCGGGCGGCGTCACAGCGGGTGGCCGCTGGCCTTTCCGGGTCTCCCGAGAAGCATTCAATCCGTTGGAATGTTTCCCGGTGGCTCTCAGAGGGCGGGGCCGCGTACAGCGTGATCGTCCCGCATGAGCCGCCCACGGACACCCTGCTGCTTGGTGGCCACTTTGTGTGTTTCCACTTTAATGGGAGTTTTGTGTGTAAAACAGTCAAAAACAACCTCGCCGGGCGTTCGGTCCCGGAAGTGGCCCCTCGGGGCTGAATCTCTGTCTGAGATAAGACGGAGCAGCAGGCAGTCCGCTCTGCGGCCTCAGAGGCAGGGCCGCGGTGTCCGCCCTCCCCTGGTCCCCGGTCCCCCAGCCCCTGAGTGGTCACCGCGGGGACTGAAGTTGCGCTGGGAGCTCGGCGCCGTCCTCTGCTCTCCGGCGGTGACGCTTGGTCAAGGGGAATGGGTTGCCGACGGACAGGGGCCTGCTCCCCCCTCCCTGCGCCGGTTCGGGGTGGCAGGAGGTGCGGCGTGTCCCCGTCTGTCCCTGGGCTGAAGAGGCCGCTCGGGCTGCCGATCCCATGAGCTTCGAGAGGGAGTCGCGGGGCCCAGAAAACCTCAGGCGTCTCTGCCGAGTCCCACTGCATCCACGCATGTCGCTGTGCCGCAGAGCCCCCTGTCCACGCATGTCGCTGTGCCGCAATCCACGCGCACTCCCTTTGTAACGCGGCCCCGTGCCGCACTGCTTCTACCAGTGATTCGAATTGCAGCCTCGTCACGCATGCCCTCGATGGGCCGCCGGCGGCTTGGCTGCGTAGTCCGCGCGGGCGCGTCCCCCGGGGGGCGCCCGCGGAGCGCCCAGACGCCTCTGGAGCCGCAGTGGTGAGGGTGCTGAGTCCCGCCTCTTGCCCAGGTGCACCTCTGCGAAGTGGAGGCGATGGAGAGGCTCGGAGACGGAGGCTTCGCCCCCGACGCCAGCACCGGGCCCCCCGTGCTGGTGGCCGTGAAGATGCTCCGGGCCGACGCCAACAAGAACGCCAGGTCTGTGCTCGGCCTGCGGAGCGTCCTTTGCGCGTTTCCCCCTCGGATCGGGGGCCCCCCCGAACACGCCTGAGCAGCGCCCCCTGTGGCGAGGGGAAGGCCTGGGAGCCGCCTCCGTTTCCGCGGTTACACGCTCCCTCCAGCCAGGCCAGCACCCGCGCCTTGGTCCTCTGTGGTCGCCAAGCACAAACGCACAGTCCCCTCCCCCCACGGCCGGACTCGCGCCCGTCCGCCCCCGACCATCCGCACGGCCCGAGCGCCGACGCTGGGCCGCCGGCGTGGGGCCGCCACAGCCCCGCCCACGGATGCGCCCCGCGCGTCCTCGCCTTCCGGTCCCCCACGCGCTCCTGCTCCGCCTCCTGTGCTCTCCTGTCCCCTCTCGCTCTACGTGCTCATCCTTTTTTCTCTTTCATGCTCCTTCTCGTCTCTGTCCAGCAGCCCCCACAATGAGAAGCCACCCCCACTTGGAGCAGTGCCCGTGGACCGCAAAGCACGGGACCCGTAGTCCTGTAGCCGTGTCCCAAACGGGGCCCCCTCCGTAGGTCGCAGCCCCGCCGCGCCTCGGCCCGACAGCCTCTCCGCGTCCCGTCCGCGACGGTGAGCTTCCTCACCCAGGGGCGCGGCCGAGAGCTGCGGGACGGCCCGGGCGAGGCCGTCTGGGGGCGCGCGCTGCCCCGCCTGCGCTGGCCGCGTGGTCTCGCGAGGCTCAGAGTGAGAGTTTCTCACCCTCCTCTCCCGGTCACCGGAAACGCCCCACACGGGGACGGGCACCGTGAAAACTCTCGCGAATGGCAGGACGTGGGGCGAAGGGGAGAGGCCAGGGACTCGCACGGGGAGGGGCTGGAGCTTCAGCTGAGCGCGCCAGCCTCACAGGTGTTGGCGCCAGCGGCCGGCAGGGCCCCCAGGTCCCATAGAGAGACACGGCGGATCGACTCCTGACGTTACTCGCAGGCCTTGGCCGGAGACGCAACGCCACCCAGCAGGACGCGCTTCTGCCTGTTGTTTGCTGTGGTGGGGGTGGTGTCCACGGTCCCGCATCCACGCCTGCCGGGCCGTGGGGGGCGGCCGGGGCTCTGGCCCCTCTCCCGCCGTGGAGACCCCTGCTTGGGGTTGACGTGGTTTAGGGGTTCCATAGGCAGAGCCAGACCCCCAGCCCAGGGTCTTAGGAAACCCCTGGGACACGTCGCTGACCTGCCCCGTCAGTTGGGGGATGGGGGCTCACGGTCTCACGGGCCCGATGTGGCTACGGGGAAGCCTAGAGCCCAAGAGCCCCTCTAGCTGTCTCCAGACGCTCACACAGAGGTTCGCCTTGGCCACGGGGTGCTCTTTCTGAACGACCCAGGGTGCCAACGTGAACTTGAAGCTGCCCTCGGCGCGCGTTGGCAGCTGGCGCTTCCTGTGCGAAGGGAAGCCAGCGTGAGGAAGTGCCGAGTTAACAGATCAGCCGAGGGCGACTATTCGCTTTATGGAAAGTTTCCTTGCTTCGCCAGCGGAGTGGCGGGGGCTTTTTACGGGGTGGACGCCCCAGGGCGCTTGAGGCTGCTTTGCCGTGAGGAGTGTCCCTTCAGAGAGTCGTGCAGGGCACCTCGTCCAGCCAGCGCGGACCCCCTTCTGTGCGGCGGGCGCGTCGCCGGGTGCTGGGGAGCAAGCGTGCCCAGGTCACGGGCCTTGTTCTCGGGGGGCGCAGGGTGCGAGCGTGAGACAGCCGGGGGCTGCTGCTCCGGCCGCTCGAAGGCGTCCGTCCGTCCGTCCGTCCGTCCGAGGGAGCCAGGCTGGGTGTGAGGCCGGGCGCAGGCGGCCGTGCCCGCTCGCCCCTCTCGGCCGTGACTCTGGCCGCTCTGAGCTTGCTCATGTTGTGTCCTCCGAAGGAATGACTTTCTCAAGGAGATCAAGATCATGTCCCGGCTGAAGGACGCCAACATCATCCGCCTCCTCGCCGTGTGCATCGCCGACGACCCGCTGTGCATGATCACTGAGTACATGGAGAACGGGGACCTCAACCAGTTCCTCTCCCGCCACGAGCCCCCCGGTTCCGCCCCCAGCGAGGCTCCCACGGTCAGGTGTGTAGTGCAGACGGGAGCAGGGAACCCCCAGGCTCGCTCGGCCGCACTCTACGTGGCCGGCTGGCCCGCAGCGCACGGCTGCCCGGGGGAGGCAGAGATCCCTGGAGAGCGGGGAGGCTGGGACCCGCCGCGGGGCGGGCCCTCGTCACGGGCCCCCGTCACGGGCCCCCTCCGCCCACCGGCAGCTCGCTCTCCTCTGTGTTGCCTCAGTTACGCCAACCTGAAGTTCATGGCGACTCAGATCGCATCTGGCATGAAGTACCTTTCTTCCCTCAACTTTGTCCACCGGGACCTGGCCACGCGGAACTGCCTCGTGGGCAAGAACTACACCATCAAGATCGCCGACTTCGGGATGAGCCGGAACCTGTACAGCGGGGACTACTACCGCATCCAGGGCCGCGCGGTGCTGCCCATCCGCTGGATGTCCTGGGAGAGCATCCTGCTGGTGGGCGCGCGGGCGGGGCGGGGCGGGCCAGGCCGCGGGCGCGGCAGGAGGGGCGGGCGCGGCAGGAGGGGCGGCCAGGCGGCGCGCACTGCCGGCTGCACGGCGGCTTCGACTTGGGGCGATGGCCTCCGAGCGCTGACGGTCATTTTTAACGCTCACCCACCTCTGCCAGGACATGTGACATCGTCACTACAGAAAATGTGCGGAAGTGGGTTAAAAATACACCCATCGTGATAAGAGATTTAATGTTTTTTTTTCACTCTCTCCCTTTTCTACCTACAGAGGGGTCTTCATTAGTTTAAGATATTAAAAAAATCACTTAAAAGAAATGTTATTCACACAGAATCCTGTATCAATTTCATAGCCGTGTTTGTAATTATTTGCCCTGATCTCTATATTTTTATTTTAGGGATTATTACCCTTTACTTTTTACTTTAAGTTCATCATTCTTTGCTTTATGATTTTTATTCAACACTTGGTCTTCTGGACCACGAGTGGGGAAGAGAGACTTCTTTTTCCAAGCGTCTGTGTCAGAGCCATTCCTTCTGACCCAGCGGCGCTCAGCAGGGGCCCGGCAGCCGGTGGCTCGGCCCCCGGCGCGGGCTCGCGCGTGTCCGCGGGAGGCGGCCCTGTGCTGAGAGGGGAGGGTGGGGCCAGCGCACCTTCACGGTGGCCTCTTGGCTCCCGTGCCCGCGTGCCTGGCCCTCGGCGGGGGCGGGGATGACACCCACGGAGGCAGACCTAACCTGTCCCGTTCTCTCTCCTGTCCCTGCGGACGCAGGGCAAGTTCACCACGGCGAGCGACGTGTGGGCCTTCGGGGTGACGCTGTGGGAGACCTTCACCTTCTGCCAGGAGCAGCCCTACTCTCAGCTGTCCGACGAGCAGGTCATCGAGAACACGGGGGAGTTCTTCCGAGACCAGGGCCGGCAGGTGAGCGCTGCTGGGGCCGCGCGGCCCAGGACGCGGTGCTTGCGCGGGAGGCCGAGGGCGGTCCCGGCGCGGCAGGAGTGGCCGGGCTGGAAGGCGGGCTGCCTGCCCGGTGTTCTCCGGCACGCCTTGCCCAGGCTGCCCGCCGGGCGCCCCACGCACCCCGTGCCTCTGGGGCCGCCGGGCTCAGGGGAGGGCGCCCCCTGACTCAGATGGCCTGGGAATGAAAACCCTGTCTCTACTTCTCTTTTTTTCAATCCTCACCTGAGGACACGTTTATTGATATTTAGGGAGAGAGGGAGGGAGACAGAAACATCAGTTGCCTCGACTCGCGCCCTGACGGGCCGTAGAGAACGCAGCCTTTGGTGTGGGGGGCGGCGCGCCGCCCGGCCCAGCCGCCGGCCCAGTGGGTCTCTCCCGGATCCGCAGCCCAGGGAGCCCCGCCGCGGCCGCGGGCTGCCCCCGGCCCCGGGGGCTATGAACGTGGCCCGACAGAAAATCGTAAATTTACTTAAAATCGTTTTTTGTGCATCAGTTTTCGTGAGTGTTTGTGTATTTAACGTGTGGCCCAGGACGACTCTTCTTCCAGCGCGGCCCAGAGACGCCAAAAGGCTGGACACCCCGGATTCTGAACCACGAGGTGTGTCCTCCTGGTTGAAAACTGCAGGCTTGAAAGGGAGCGAGCAACTTTATTGACATTCCTTAGAAATCGGGCCGGGCCTGTCCAGCGCTGTTTCTAGATGCACCTGCCCAGGGACAGGCAGGTGTGCCCTGGGCTTCCGGCTCCCGGGGGCGCCGCGGGGCCGGCTGCTGTGGCCCAGCAGGACCGGGGACAAGCCAGGTGGCTGGGCTCACAGACCCCACTCTCTGGCCCCGGGGCATGCGTGGCCGACTCGGGTGGGCTTCCTGTGTGCTGTGGGAGCGAGAGCTTGCCGATGGCACCTCACGCCGGAGAATGACAACAAATCCCGAGTGGCTTAGATGGCGCCAAGCCAGCGACAGACGAGGGGACGAGGGCGTGCAGGCTGCGTGAGGGCAGGCCCAGGGCGTCACGCCCTCCCAATGCCCTGGGGGCTAGTGGCAGTGGGGCCTGAACTCTCCTCCTTGGTTAGGGGGTCATAGCTTTCTTGCCACAGCAAAGGCCCACCTACCCCGTGGGCAGGGGGTAAGTGAGGGACCCAGAACAGCGTTGTCGCCCGGCCTAACGTGTCCTGGCCGCCGAGTTCACTCCTTGGAAGTCCCGGGGCCAACTCGAAGCGCTGTGTTCCGCCGGAAGATGCCATCTTGTTTATCGCAGCAGCAGTTCTCCCTTGAGTCCGTCCTGGAGTTACAGGCAAAGGGACGGGCATGGGAAGCCGTTTGGGCTCCATCTGCTGATGGTTCGGGACTAAAATCCCACCGAGGAAAGACATGTGCCCGAGGCGGCGTCAGACCGTCAAACATGCAGCGACAGCAAACCTGTCCCCGTAGGTCCACCTCAGTCTGCGTGTCAGATGCTCTTGGTGCGACGTAGGCCTGACTCAGCACTAAAAGGTTACACGTTAATTATCAACGGTGAGGCTGTTCAGTCTCACAATAAACCAGTTTTGTCACTTAACGGAGTTTCCATTTCTAATCTCTGGGATTTAAATCTCCTCACTCATTTAAAAATACACACTCTCAGGGAGCCCCCGTCTCAGCGCGGTTAAATGCTGGTAGGGAACCAAGTACACTCTGACTGGCCATCAAATGGCTGAGCAGTGAGGTCAAATATTTGACTAACGCCGGTGCCAAAGCCATGTGTCACCACTGCTTGCTGAGGAAGCGCCTTGCTAAGCGAAAGCTTACATTTTCCATAAAAGTTTATTAAATGTAACCCACGGACATACTAAACGTAATGTACTAGAGTTATGTTTTATTACACGATATTATATTTTATTAGATATTACTATAGAAACATTTTATGCACATTGATACGTTACATTGGGTTGCTTTAAATTTTATTGTTAGAACCTCGGGATTGGGGCTGTAAAAGGCTGGCCGCAGGGCAGGGGCCAGCGACCTCTCCCCACGGCTGCGGTCGCGGGCCGCTCAGGGGGCACCGGGCTCTCCTCCGAGTGGCCCCGCGGCCGTGAGCCGAGCAGGTATGATGCGGAAGACGCCGCCTGGGGCCTGAATTCTGCCAGGAACCTCCTGCTCGGCCTTGCGGCTGAGGCAAAGCCTAAGGCGTCTGAATTCCACTGGAAGCCCCCGGAGTCTAGAGCGATCATTTCCCCCATGAAAAAACGTGCTCAACATTTCTGTTTCCAGTTTCTCTTGACAAACTGTGAAGCGTTTCCAGGTGACCCCTTTCTGGGATGCTCATGGCCTCCAGGGAAGGGGCGCCAGCCTCCTGGTTTGCAGGCCGGGGCGTCTTCCCGCTGGGTGGCGGGGCCCGCAGCCCAGCCCTCAGGGGACCCCTGGGCAGAGCAGCGGAGGCAACAAGGGTGGGGATGGGCTGGCGGAGAAAGCACGCCACACTGACCTAGGCACCCGTTCAAGACAGCGGGGCGTGGGCCAATCACACAGCGGGGCCGTGCTCGCCCTGCCCCCTCCCTAATGTTCTCCCTTCTTGTTTACTTTTGTTTCCAAAGACATACCTGCCCCAACCTGCCATCTGCCCGGACTCCGTGTACAAGCTGATGCTGAGCTGCTGGAGGAGGGACACCCGGCGCCGGCCCTCATTCCAGGAAATCCACCTGCTGCTCCTCCAGCAGGCGGACGAGTGAGGCCCGCCGCCCCGCGCCCAGGCCTCCTCGCGAGCGCCAGCACCAGCACCCGGCCCGCAGCCGCGCCGCCCGGCCCGAGGGCGGGGGCTCCTCCGGCGCCTCCCTCTGCCCCTCGGCTCCCACCACTGCACCCCCACGCTCCACCCCTGGCCCATATATACTTTTTTTTACATTAAAGAACTAAAAAAGGAAAAAAAAAAAAACCTAGGGCAGATACGATGCAGTAAAGAAACCTCCATTGATATACCACAGAGCTGGAGACAAAGGCTAGGTAATTTAGATAATTTATAAAGGTTAAATATGCTTGTGTTTATAGATGTGCAGATGCTACCATATTTTTTCCATGTTGCCTTTAAAGAAATAGTTTCAGCAAGAAAAACTTGAAGAATACGAAGATCTCCGGGAACCTGAGGTTAGGTCACAGGGAGACGCCGGGCGGGTGTGGAGGCGCGGGCGACGTGGCGTCCGTGGCGAGCGGCGAGTGGCTCCGTTTCGTCGTCCTTCCGCCTCTGGGTTGTCCCGCACTCTGCGCCTCTCTCCCCGTCCACATGGCTGACCCCTGGTCGAGGCCCCCGCGCCCCCAGCCTCCTGGGAGGCACTTGGTCCCCTCGCGGGTGGGTCAGGGGGAGGTGCGCATGCAGGAATCGCAGAGGAAGGCGCAGGAAAGGATGTTTGCTGGTGGTTGGAAGCGGATCGTCTTTTGCAAAGCGAGAAACGGACCTCGTGTGCGGAAGGGTTCTCCAGGAGAGGAGGCCCGCGGAGGCCGGGGAGCAGGGGAGGGTCCTCCCTCCTCTTCCTCCTGCTCAGTTCCTTGCAGGCGTGTGTCAGAGGGAAGCCTGCTTTGGGGTCCGTGAACACGGGCGTCTCGGTAGCTTCCTTCCAGGGCCTGTGGCCCAGCTTCTGGCGGCCCGCGTTTCAAGGGCGGAGTGCCCCGGCCCCTGCGGGCTGGGGTCCAGGTCCCCAGGCCTGTCCAACAGGGAGCAGACCTGCTGGGAGCGTTCTGGAGGGTTGGCCTCGGACCAGGAGGGGCAGCTATGGGGACACTGACGGCCCCTCTTCACAGGGAGCTTCCAGGATGGCGGGCTGCCTGCCGAGGTGGGGCCCTGGGCCCTGCAGGCGTTCGGACCAGGCTGAGGAGCGAGGGAGGGCAGGAGGCGGGCAGGCGCAGACTTCGGTGCGCAGACGCGCGGCGTGGCCTTCTGCGCAGGTCAGGCGTGACGGAGGCGCCTCCCACTGCGATGGCCTGGTGGGCGCATGCCGTGGCGGTGCCGTAACCAGCACAGAAGCCGGGGGCGGGGGGGGGCTCTGTCTCCGGAACTCACGGGAGCCGATGCGTGGCCCCATCGGAGCCCTGTCAGAACAGGTTCTATGGGACGCAGGGGAGGGGCCCCCCAGCACCTGCCACGAAGACGCAGAAAAGGTGGCAGAGGCCACGCCCTAGGCTCAGAGGAGCATTTGGCCCGCGGGGAGCTTCTGCCGCCCTCACCTCACCCCCGGCCTCCACGGAAGCGGGAGTCCCCCACCCTGGGCGCTCTCGGCAGGTCCCCTGCTGCCCCCGGCACACACCGTCCATCCCGTGACTGGGACTTGGCCCCTGGCGCGGCCGCGGGGGGAGGCGGGGCTGTCAGCCCGTGTCAGGCCAGGACGTGCTCCCGTCCCCTTTCCTCCGGGGCAGCGAGGCCCGCCCCCCGGGAGGGCCTCGGCCTTGCTGGGCCCGACAGTTTGAGTGCCGATCCCCTGGCGCCAGCTCACAGACCCGCCCAGCACCACGTGGAATTCCACGTGTGGCGGAGTGAACACGCCCAGCTCGGTGCGCCCGTTTCCCTGGAATTCACGGGCCCTGAGCGCACACCCCCGGGGGATGCGGCTGGACACCCCGGGGGCCGGGGAGGCCGCGCCAAAACGGCCCTCCGCCCCTGCCTTCCATGACCCCACGGAACAGTCAGCCCTGAAGGGAGCGGAGTGTGTCTGGGTTTCCTGGGGTGCGTCAGACGGGTGGCCGGTTTCGGGCGGCTGTCCGGACCATGTAGTCACGCACCGTGACCCTGTCTGGGCGAAGGGAGGCCCCCTGTGTGTGACCCACACGGGGCTCGCTGGAGCCTGGCCGTGGCCCTGGCGTTCACAGCACAGAGCTGGGAGGTCCCACGGGCGCGTGTGGGGCGGAGGCCGAGCGTGACGAATTAAAAGTCACTCGGATCTGAGTTAGAAGAATGGAGCTAGAAATGACTTAGGAAAGGAGGTCAGGGAACGTGGAACGTTGAAGTCCAGATTGTGGTTCTGGAGTCAGGCCAGCGTGTGTACAGCGGTCGATGGGCGGAGGGCTCAGCGCGGCCTGGACGCCGCCCGGGCTCACGTGCTCTGAAGCGGCCGGGACTGGGGAGGCCCCGAGGGGGACGCGGCTTTGGCGCGGGGACAGGAACACCGGCAGGTCACAGCATGTGTGGAGGGGGTGGCAGAGGAGTGAACGAACGTGCAGGTGGCTGGACGGGGGCAGGTGGGCAGAACGCCGAAGGGACCGAGCAGGCGGCCGGGCTCCCTGCCGGCGCAGGGGGCGGGGCGGGGCGGGGCGGGAGACGCGCGCACTGAGGACCGGGCCGGGGATGGAGGTCGTGCTGGTGACAAGAGGAGACACGGGGGGCAGCGCAGGACCCTGGAGGGGGCTTCGCAGTTTTCGGAGAGAGAAGGTTCCGCGTGGGTGCGCCTGGCAGGGAGCCTCCCGTGTCGGAGGCAGCGGGCAAGGCGGGGCCTGAGTGCCCACGCGCTGGAGCTGAGGAGCGACGGCGCCGCCCCCCGCCTGGTTTCCGGAGCTGCCCTGGACGCAGAGCTGGACGCGGGGAGATTTCGGGGTTCGCCAGGCTCGGTGCTCCCGGCCCTTGCTTCTGGTCTCAACCCCGGGGGGGCACGGGGACAGAGAGGCAGTGGGCTCACGCGAGCGGCGCGCGCAGAGGGGGGTGCCGGGGGCTGTGGGAGCCCAGAGCGGTGCTCGCCGCCCCCCCCCAGCCGCCCCCCCCAGCCGCCCCGTGGGGAAGGGGCTCCGCCTAGCGTGTTGAGGGAAAGGAGAACAGGGAAAGGGAGTGTCTGGAAGAGGAAAACAGGGGCAGAAGCTCCAAGGAAATATTCTAAAGTAGAATAGCATCTGTTTTGCCCAAAACTACAAAAAAAATGAAGACAATTACAGTTAGGCCTAGGTCACTCCCCAAACAGGGCTATTACGTCTTTGGTCCTAAGTTCAACTTAATGCCTTGGCACCTTAGTCTTTCACTAAGATCTCTGACCTCTGGCCTCTGACCTCTGGCCGTGCCCACAGCAGGGCCCTGAATGTTTCTGGAAGTTTCAGACCCTGGTGTATGCTGGGAAATCCTTCTGAGCTGATTGAACATTTTTACAGAAATGGACAAGCGTCCCTCCCGCGCGGCGAGTGCCTTGGAACGCCCTCCTGACAAGGAAAGAGGCCGGTCGCGATCGGGCCGCGGGCATCCCGAGGTTCCTGCGGCAGGACCTGGCTGTCAGGTGGGCAGTGGCGGGCGCGTGTCCCTTCCTAAGGCTTGTTGTTTGGAAACACTTCAGGACTCACATGGAGTTACAAAAGCAGCACTGAGGGGCCCACCCTGACCCCACTGGTAACGTCTTCCGTAACCAGCCGGCACTTCCAGAGCCAGAAAACGGACATTGTCCTCACAGTAGTAACTACACCACAGACCGCGTTCTGGTTTCAACAGTGGTCTGATTTCAACAGTGTTCTACGTGTACTCATTTAGCTTCTGGGTAGGTTTAACCCTGCTGCCTCATAACCTGGCCTTGCTTGGAGGCAGCTGAGAAAGATGCCATCTGGATACAATTGTATGAGATCCTAAAGAGAATGTAACAAATTAACCTGTTTCTTTATCAGTGAGACGTACCCTGCCTAGGCTGTGTGTCTACCTTTGCTGACTTAGTGTGGCTGTCTAGCATCTGGAACAATCCAGAACCACTTGAAAGGGTTCAGGGCAGTGAGACTTGCCAGTGGCTTGCTGGCTAGAGCCGGGCGTGGCGGGGAACCTGGGTGGCTCTTGCCACCCCCACAGTGACAAGGGCTTGGAGGTGCAGCAGGGAGAGCTTGAGAGCGGCCCAGTGTTTGGGCAAGAAGCAGGTGGCACCGAGTTATGGCCCCAGGGCAGCTTGTGGAAGGGCCAGAGTGCTGTGCCATAAGCTATTTTCAGAACAGTAGAGCGGTTTCACTTGTATAAATATCTCTTCTGAAAGGGGGCGCCAACCACACTGGACCAAATCAATTGCAAACCCACCGTAGCCTGGGGCGGGCGGGCGGGGGAGGGGGTGGCGCGGTGAGGAGGTCTCAGTTTCCGTTGCCCGCGCAGCTGGGAGTGGTCTGACGGCTCCAAGTGGGGGCCCCGAGACTGCACCTTGCTCGCCTGCGCACACCTGCGTCCCGCGGAGTTCCTAGCACGTAGCGGTCATTCCACACGTGTTTGCTGAGTGTTATTTCTGCATGAAAATGGAGCAGCAGAAACTTGTCACGCCGCGTGCCTGCGGCAATGGCGGGCAGTCGCTCCGCTGGGTTCGAACGAGGAGGGAGAGGGAGGGCCCACATCTTACCAGCTGCCTGTTTGCTGGTGGGGAAGTCGGCGTCTGAGGCCTTTAGACACCACTTCCAGGTCGTTCTGTACAAGGCGCCCCGTCCAGAGCAGGCACTGCGGCCTGGCCCCTGGTTCAGCCCATTGGAAAAAAACCTTGTAGTTTCTCCCACAGACGCCTTGTCTGCGACTGCCTGAGCCTGCAAAGGGGCAGGGGTCACCGAGAGCTGGCCCACGCTTTCCCGCCCGCACAGCCACCGGCAGAGAGGGAGGGTCAGCAGAGACGTGCAGGGGAGCCCAGTGGGGTAAGGTAGTGCCTTCGCATGGAAACTTGTTTTCTCGGAGAAGCTTGGAACTAACTGAAGAGGGGACCATCCCTGCCACGCGCCGAGTCTGCAGTCCAGCTGCTCACTTTGTGCCCTTCGCCTCCGGGACACCTGGCACTCTCCCCTGCCGTCTGGTGACTGCGCAGAAGCCACACGGAGCAGGCGTCACGAGGGGGGAGGGCCCAGGCCGACTCCACAGGCTTGTGGAGGGCGAGGTGTCGGGTCGAGGGCGAGAGAGCAAACTGACTCGATTTCTGCTTAACACTATCCTAGTCATTCCAAAATAGAATACATAAGAATTCTCTGTATTAGAAAAAAAAGAAACCCACGAGATACCAATTGTATATTTTCTTTTCTTTATTTATTCTCTGTAAGTCTGTCAGATGATACATTGTAAATAACAACGATTAAAGAAATATGCTACTAATGAATGAATGGTCCTTTCTGTGCAAATGACGCCTGTTCTGGGCTTTGTCACCCTCCCCCGTGGGCCTCGCGTCCTCTCTGGGGATGCGATGGGGCGCGGGGTGAGCCCTGCATGCGCCCCGGGCGGGCGCAGAGAGCCTGCCTGTTCGTCGGGGACGGGGTGCTCAGCAGGGGGTTTTGATCCAGGCCTCGCACTGTCATCCGACTTCATTGGGAGAAACACGTCCTGGGCTCTGGGAATCCAACCCCACTAGGGACTGGGATTTTTCCTGCCACATTCGTCCAGTTCCGGGGAATCTGTTCCAGAAGTAGCTGGGGGAACATTTCCTGTTGCGGCAGAGTAGCCTGATAACACAGAAACCCCTCCTGAGTTCACACAGGCTCTGGCTCGACCTCTCGCCAGCCCAGGATCACAGAGCGACACAAGCTGCGACAACCGGAATCAGGCCGCTCCGTAACAGCGACTAGGAGGCAGCACCCGCAGCCACGGGCTTCTCGCCGGAGCCTGGACTCTGCGCAATACTTGCGCTTTCCCGAAGGCTGTGAGCCCCGCCCCCGCCCCCGCCCCCACTGGTGATAGAGAAGGGAATCCGTGCAGTTCTCCGAGCGCAGCCAGAGGCGGCTGCCACAGTCCTGGCGCGGGTCGCCCTGTGAAGCCCTGGGACCCTCTGGTTCCGCCCGGTAGCCCAAGGTTTGAACACGGGCGATTCTTGCTTGACTACACGCAATTCTTCAACAAGCCAATGTTCCAAAGATGACTCTTTAGAGGAGGCCTGGGGGCAGGAGCTCAGGTAAAGAGGAGGGGACCACCAGGGGGCGGTCCCCGAACGCCAGCTCCTAGGCCCGAACCTTCCCTGAAATACGGGACGCTGCTGCAGAAGCCCCAACCCGAGCGGCCAGAGCTCAGGCGCGCACCGCTGCCACAGCCGCCACCTGGCGGGCGGGGGCGGGACACCTGCGTGGCGGAGGCGGGAGAGCGCGAGTTGGCTGGGGGCTGGGCCTCCCTTGGCCCCGCCCCTCGGCCTATCTCACCCGACCTGGGCCGGCGACTCGCGCAGAGTTCCCCGACTGGGGGGAGTAGCGGGGGCGTGGCAGAGCTGTATAACCGGCCCCTGATTGGGCAGAGGGCGGGGAGGACGGGGTTTACAGGGCTCTGATTGGAGGGCGTGCCCTAGGGTCCTAACCGTGAGGGTATCACCGGGCCCCGATTGGGCAACGGGCGTGGGAGGCGGGGCCGACCGGGATCCGGCCTCTTTTTTCCCGGAGGCTCTTGGGCCCTGCCGGCAGCTGGGCTTTCGTGCGCCGCGATGAGGAAGGTGGTCCTGGTCACCGGGGCGAGCAGGTGAGCCCTCGTGCGGTCGCAGCGGCGGGTCGGGGGATGGGCCCCGGGGTCCGGCCCGCGGTGCCTGGGCCCCCTTCTTTGCCGCGCCTGGGCTCGGGCTCTGAGCGAGCGAGGCACCGCGGGGTTCACGCCGTTTCCATGTCGAACCCAGCGGCGTCGGCCGAGCGCTCTGCCAGCGGCTGCTGCAGGAGGAAAACGAGCTGCACCTGTGCCTGGCATGCAGGAACCCGGGCCGCGCCGAGGCCGTCCGCGCCGCGCTGGTGGCCGCCCAGCCCTCCGCCCTGGTGAGCGCTGTGCAGGTGGACGTCTCCGACCCGCGCTCGGTGCTGCGCGCCGCCGCGGAGCTCAGGCACAGGTGGGCCTTCCGTTGACGGGCGTTCTCGCGCGTGGTTGTGCAACGCAGCCACTGACAAACGAGCAGGGGTGGGGAGCCCTGGAAAGGAACACCTGGGTGTCAGAGTTACGCTCGCGAGGTCTGTGTTTCATTCTCATCGCGGTCAGGCTGCTTTAACGAAGGTTAGTTAGTACAGGAGCGCGCCTGAGCGCCACTCCTTGGACACCCGAGTGCGCTTTCTAACTTTTTCCTACTTGGGTCACTAGGTGGGTCGGGCGGGTGCTGAGGTGGAGCGGCTCAGACAGGGAAGGGAGAGTAATGTGCCAAGGTGGTCACAGGACTCCTCCCCGGGTCTTCGGGGAAGACACGTAGTTATTTCGCGTTAGCAACTTAGTATCTAGCAAGATATTTAGTAATTTAGCCCAATATTTAAGGCGGTGAGGCTGCGGAGGAGAAGGGAGCCCCAAGGTAGTTGGTGAGTTGGCATCACAGCCCCTTGGGGCTCCCCAGTCCCGTCGGAAGCCACCGCCGGGGAAGGACCCTCCCAGGGCTGAAGCTCTCGTCCGGTGTCTTGCCCCCAGGTTCCGGAGGTTAGACTGTGTGTATCTGAACGCGGGGATCATGCCCAGCTCACACCTGAACATCAAAGTGCTTTTCTCCAGCCTCTTCTCAAGGTAATTTCTGTTTTTCAGGTACAGCGATGGTCGGGAAGGGGTTTACTTTCTAGCCTCGTTTTGCCCTGGGTACGTTAAGTTGGGGGGCAAAAGGGGCTTTGAGGAGAAGAGACAGGGAAAGAAAAGCAGCCGGGTCGCGCGGCACGGTTCTGCGTGTCTGGGTCCACGGTGTCTGGGAGCAGAGCCCCTTGGAACCAGGCAGGTGGCGGCAGGACTCCGGCCCCCACGAGGGCGGCTTCGTGTCACGTGCTCTGAGCCTCCGGCGGGGGAGGGGTGAGCACTCACTGGGTCCCTGGGGACTCTCTGTGCAGTGGGGTGGCTTCCAGAGTGTTTGACCCCAACCCACAGCAAGGAAGCAACTTACCTCGGGCGCTAGAGTACGTAATCGCACGTCGACGTTCTCCGGGTTTCGTCTCTCCCCTGAAACGCTTCACACGCACACTCTCAGACCCCCACTGGCCATGACCTGCTGAGCTGACCTCACAGGAAACACCGCGTTAGTGTGGTCACGCTCCGAGAACGCCCAGCAAGAGCGCTGGCCGATGCCCGGCCGCCCGTGTGGGGCCTCGCTGGGCGGTGCTTGGTGCGGGGAGGACCCCCCTCGCGTAGCTGTTGTCCCTGGGGGTGCTGACCTGTATACTCTGGCGTGGGAAGAGGTGAAGAGAGTTTTAGCAGATTTTTAGAGGCCCGGGGTCCTGTTGGCAGCGCCTCCGGGGGAGAGGAACCATCTTTGCGGTGCATTTGACAGCCGCCCGGGATGAGGACGTGGGGTTTGGGGTGGGGCGGGGGTGGTCTCCTCAGTGTCTCCAGGTGCAGGAACTGAGAGTCGTGCACTTTCTTCTGTTGTTTCAGAAAAGTGATTCATGTGTTCTCCACAGCTGAAGGGCTGCTGACCCAGGAGGACAGGGTCACTGCCGACGGGCTCCAGGAGGTCTTTGCCACCAACGTCTTTGGCCACTTTCTCCTGGTAAGGTGTCAACAAACCGACACGTAGCACTGGGCATGCTATGAAGCTCAGTAGCATGTTGCTGATGTTCGTTTTTTGTGTATTTAAATAGGAGGGTTAGTTTGCTTTGAAAACACTGGTTCCCTGCAGCGGCCGAGCAAGATACTATTTTTTTCGGTGTGTGACCCGCGCTTGGTCTGGAACCGGCCGTTCTCTGAGGCCACTGGCCTCCCAGCTGCTCCTTGTTGTCACGGCAGCAGGTGCACTGGGCCCTCCAGCAGACAGCAGTGGATGCCGCTGTGCACTCGCGCCCGTGTGGGGACACGCAGCTGTACGGCTCTCCCCGGTTGACCATCGGCACCCTAACTGAGGCGACTGAGGCTGGGCCTTGTCTCTGCGCTGACCCCGCGCTGTGTGGCGTGTCCGGCCCCTCGCGTGTTTTCCTGGGCTGCCCGCTCTCCCAGTGACTGAGCTGCTCCATTCCAGCGGACAGGAGCGTGGTCTCAAAATTGCTGCTTGTGCCTCTCGGGGGATTTTGATGCCATTTTTGTTTCTCTTTTCTCCATCCAGATTCGTGAGCTGGAACCGCTCCTCGGCCACAGCAACAGCCCATCCCAGCTCATCTGGACGTCGTCCCGCAGTGCCCGGAAGTCCAACTTCAGCCTGGAGGACATGCAGCACAGCCGAGGCCGGGAGCCCTACAGCTCTTCCAAGTACGCGGTCGACCTCCTGAGCGTGGCCTTGAACCGGCGCTGCAACCAGCAGGTGAGGCCCTCGGTGCTCCGCCGCCGCGGACTCCTGTGACGGCGCGGATGGCGCGGGTTGGCAGGCGCAGTACTGTTTCTTGGGCGGGGTTTTGGCGAGGACAGGAGGAGACGCGAGGGAGGCAGGCGGTCGGTGTGCGCGGACGCTGTCGGGCAGGGGTGGGGCACCGGACCTGAGGCCTAGGGGTCCCTGCACGTCTGCCCGAGCTGTGGCGTCTCCAGCAGAGCGACAGTGACGACAGCCGCTGGGAAACACCGGCTGTGTTTCAGGCACCGCACGCGCTCCCCAGCGGGCGTGCGGTGCCTGTGGGGCTGGGGAGGGGTCCGAGTGTGCCGTCCTGCGAGGACGCCGCAGTGTGGAGAGGTGGTCCCTGACCTCTGAGTGCAGCCCGGACAGAATCACACTGCCCCGGGTCCGGGCTCGCTTGGTGTATTCTTCTCCGGCGGGCGGGCGGGCGAGTCGGCGCCCGGGGCTCAGGGTGCACGTGGTCCCCGGCCGCAGGGCGTCTTCTCGAGCGTGGTGTGCCCGGGGACCATGGTGACCAACCTGACCTGTGAGATCATCCCGCACTTCCTGTGGACCCTGCTGACGCCCATCATATGGCTGGTGAGTGCGCCCGCCGGCGCTGCCCCCTGGGCGTGCGGACGCGGCTCGATTCAGGGCCGAAAGGGTGTATGGGGGGCTCAGGTGATTTAAGAAATCACAACCCCCGGGGTGGCTGAGTCCCGTGTCACTTGACATTCGGAGTCACTTAGCACGTGACCGCTGACCCCCTGCCCCCTGTGGACCCCCCCACATGTCTCCTCTGTGCAGGGTCACGCCCCGTAGGCCCTGAGTCCTGGGACCGTGAGGGTGGGATACCTGGGCAGACGGAGCTGGCCGGGTGGCTCCATGGGGTCACGTGCGTTTAGAGCCCCCAGGGCGGGGTGGCCTGTGTTCCGTGGCACAGAGCCATGTGCCTGCCGCTCTGTCATGTTGTAAGTGCCTTAGTGGGAGCAACGCGCCGTCAGCATGCTAGGAAGTGCCGCCTGAGGAGAGGCCCTTCCATCGCGGGGCGCAGAACGCGTTCCTCTGTCACGTCGTGCACGGGGCGGGGGGCAGGAGGAAGTAGGCCTCCGCGGTCACAGGGGCTGGCTCGGCGCGTGGAGGTTGAGCGAAGTTTCCCAATCAGACCTCCCTGTTTTTCGCACTGAGCGTCTGAGGGCGGGGAGTGCGTGTGTCTTCGTAACCTGATGGGTGAGATGTGCCGCTGTGGCTTGGCTCCCGGCCACCCACGGCGACACCCGCTTTCTCTTTCTCAGTTTCGCTTCCTTGCGAACGCCTTCACCCTGACGCCACACAACGGAGCCGAGGCCCTGGTACGTCGCTGGTCCGTGGCTGTCTGGCCAGTAGCAGGCGCAGGCCGTCCGTTCCCCGGGAGCAGACTCAGTCTCGACAGAAGAGCTGAGAACACGCTCTGGACACCCGCCTTTCTGCTCGGGCCGGGGGACGCCCGGAGGGTGGTGTCCCCAGGGGCCTGGACCTGCGAGTGCAGGGACAGCCCCACGGAAGCTGAGGTGTGGGTGCCGCGGGGCGGGCGGGGCCCTCGGGGCATCCGGGGCCGGCCGAGGCAGCGACGCCCAGGGCCGTTCACGCCGGGGTCCAGCTGTGCCATCCGGAAGCCGGCACAGGTCCCTGCGCGGCACGTGGCCTGGGGCCGCGTGTGCCCTTGGCCGGGCAGACATCCCTCGTGGGTCGTAGTCATCGTTTCTGTCAGACACGTGTGACGTCCCCGAAGGCTCCTCTGCTGGTGGCTGGCGTCACATAGTGACCGTGCGTGTCCTCTGTGCTGAGCACCGTCTGGGGGCAGTTCCTCATTTGGAGTCAGTCTGTGTGAGCTTGTCCCACGCTCTCGGGGCATCCGGTTCGTTGGGAGCCGTGGGGACCGAGCACGGTAACAGGCACATGCAGTGGATTCTTAAATCGTGGCAGAATCGGAGGAGCTGGGAAGGCCCCAGCGGACGGGGTAAACGAACGAGGGGCTCAGGCGGGCACCCCGGCTCTGGCGAACAGTGCCGAGGCCGACGCTGGCTATAGGGACGTGGCCAGGCTGCGCGAGCAAGTGCGTCCAGGTTCATTCCAGGGCGTCCTTGACGGGTTTGCCAAGCCGTGAGGAGTTTCAGGGAACAGCCCCTTCGGGATGGACCCCTGTGTGTCAGAGAATCAAGCCCGGGGTGTGGCGAATAGAAGACAAAATCCCTGTTATGAGGAGCTCAGAGTCACGTTTAGAGAAAAGAGAGCAAGCAGCGAGCGCGTGAGACGGCCGGCCATCAGCGCCCTCGGGGTGCGCAGGAGTTGGGGAGCCGTGGGGCCGGCAAGGCTTTGCCCACCACGCAGGCTTGTCTGGGACGGGAAGGTGGGCTGCGTTTGGTAGGACAGGCAGCCGGACCCAAGTGTCACGGTTTAAAAAACATGTGTGACTCTGGTCATTTCCCGACGGCGATGGGTGGGCGGCCACCTGCAGGGCTCCCCTCGGGGAGGTTGGGAGCTGGTGGGCGCGGCTCCTGGTGTGAGCCCCGCACGGTGCTGAGCTGCGGAGGAGTTGTGGCTCCTGGGACCCGGCGCGGGGCCTGGGGCACACGGGCTGGATTCTGCTCTAACCCCGCCGCTCGGCCCCGGCTGGGACCCCTTGGTCCCACAGCTGGCCTTGTATTGTCCATGGAAACGAGCTGGCCGAGGGGATGTCTCGCTCGTCTGGAGCCCAGCGCCAGCCCCAGCCCCGAGTCCCCGCCAGCCTCGCTGGGCTGGGCAGGACAGGAGCCAGGGCTGCCCTCTCTCCCTCCCAGGTGTGGCTCTTCCATCAAAAGCCGGAGTCTCTCGACCCTCTGACCAAGTATCTGAGCGCCACTACGGGCTTCGGAAGCAACTATGTGATGACCCAGAAGGTAAACCTGTTTGCACTGCCTCGTTGGACGTTTCCGCCACGCCCTGCGTTCCTGCCGCGCCCGAGGCTGCCGGCTCCCTTCCGGGGCCTGCCCGTCCGCGGGCCCCCCACCGGCCGGGCCGCTTCCGGCTCCCTCCTGCCCCTGGCCGGCCGTCGCCCGTCTTCTCCCGCTGTGTGGCTCTTGCCTCCACTAATGAGCCCCGTGACACCGACTGCCCCAATCCCAGCATGGGCTGCGCATGCGGTCGGTGCTCGGTGCGGGGGTTGTGTGCCGGACAGGACAGGACGGGAGGTGCCCGGCAGCGAGGTGGACTCCCTGGGGGTGCGGCCTCACGCAGGACGCGGTCAGCGCTGGCGGACGGGTGCTCGGTGGCCGCAGGGGTCGGGCACGGAGAAACAGCCCTGGAGTGTGTTTCAGGCTCTGCAGGCTTCTGAGCAGAAACCAGACACAGAGCTGTCTCTTAGGAAATGAGGAGCCTCAGTCTGAACCCACGAGAACTCCTTTTGTTTGTTTTTGTCGTGCGTGAGGTTTCTACCTCACGCCCAGTTCTCACCGCCCAGCTCCCTGTGGGAGGCCTGGGGCGGGGTACAGAGTCGGCCCGGGCAGGCGCGGCGGTGGCGGGGGTCCTGCCCGCTCCGGCCGAGCCCAGCGCGGGCTGTGCGCGCACCACTGAGACGTGCGTGTCCAGGGTGTGACCGCGGGTTTCCAGGCTGCCCTGGACTCTTAACTTTGTTCTTCACATTTGGCATAGAACGTGGTAATGCCCCCGAGCCCTCCTCGGGACGCTTGTAACCTAACGGCCCACCAGGCCCTTGGCTTGTCCGAGTGTCCTCCTCGTCAGCCCGGGGGAAGGCCTGCTCGTTAAGGGGAGACGCTGCTAAACTCCGTGAACCGAAGCGTTTTAGCAGCGCCCGATGGAGCTGCGCGGAAGCCGGTGTTTCAGCCTCTGATGTGGGGACGTCCCCCTCCCCCGGGAAAAGGCCCCCCTGAGCCCGCGAGCCCCACCCTCCACAGTGCAGCCACCTCTGCGACCGAACGGGTGTGGATGTCATTTCCAAAACGCTGACCAGTGTTCTCTGATTTTCGGCCTCCAGCTTTGTGCAGAAAGAGCCTCTGTCTGAGGCGCAGGCCCAGTGGGCTCGGAAGGACTTACCGCTGCATTTACAGGCAGTGTGTTGGTTGAAGGTAGATTTTCTGCCCACAAAGCAGGGTCCACCTAGTGGCGACCGAGGCCTCATGTGAGCCAGCAGCTTGGGGAGCTGGCCGCGGGCTGGGGCGGCAGCGCCGCGGACGTCAGCAGCCCGGCCCCTGTCCCTGCTCTGCCGGCACCGTTCTCCTGGCACAGTGCGGTCTGGCAGGAGGGGAGGGGACGCCCCTCTTCGGGACGTCCTGGGTGCTGGGGACGGTGAGCTCTTTGTCTGAAGCGGGTGGGTGTTCGGGGGTCACAGCAGTTGGACCATTAAAAGAAAACCTCTGGAGTGTCTTCTTTCGTCCTTCCTCACGTCAGAGTTGGTCAGTGTCCTCTGTGACCGGGTCATGGGAGCCGGGGGCCAGCAGAGCCGGACCTGCCCGTCTGGGAGAGCCCGTGGGGTCGGCCGGTGCTGGAGTCGGGCCGAGAGCTACTGTGAACCCCGGTCTTGGGGTTCAGAGACCTCGGCCCCTCCCCGCCGCCCCTCCTGCAGTCCTGCCCACGTTGAAGCCTCCCTCTTCCACAGCAGCGTTAGTGTGCACGTCCCTGTCCCTGTCCCTGTCCCTGTCCCTGTCCGGTCATCCTTGTCTCTGATTCTTTTCCAGATGGACCTCGACGAACACACTGCTGAAAAATTGTTCCAAAACCTGCTGGAGCTGGAGCAGCGCATCAGGGCTGCCGTGCAGGGCACCGACTAGCAAAGCGGAGGGCGCGGCGGCACACGCCCACGTCTGTCCCTCGCGGCGTGTGGGCGCCGTCGTTGGGGGTGCGCGGTGACCTCTCGCGGTCTCCCTCCCCCGCCCGGCACTCCCTCTGAGAACCCGGGCGCCTGTGTGTGCGCCCCTGAGAAAAGCTTCCTCAGGTCGCACATCACTCCGCTGCGTCCTGGAACGGGGACCCCGTCACACTCGGACGGGGCGTGGCCTCGGGTAGCCGAGACACAGGCCCCCATCCTCCTGCCAGGAGGAGGGAGGGTCTCAGCGGCGCCCCTCGTCCTGCGAGCATTTTCTCAGGTCTTTCGCCTTATTCTTCCACTGCTTCTAACAGTCCTCGGGTTCGGGGTCCCCGCTGCCGCCCGCAGGGGCCCAGTCCTGGAGCTCAGGGATGTTGCGCTCGGACCACTTCCGGGTTCTCCCTCCTCGTTTTAAGTGTCCCGTTGTCATTGCAGTTGGGTGGGCCTCACTCTGCACTGTCTGCAAATGCGTTTGCTGCTGACCCACCTGTTCCCCTTTCCTTATCCTTCCCCCGGGGCGTTTTTTTTCATTGCTTTGACAGAGATGGGAAGGGGGAAGGAGAGAAACGTTGGTTGGTTGCCCACCGGGGACTGAACGCGCAGCCTTTGTGGGCGCCGGGCGACACTCCAGCCAGTGGAGCCCCCGGCCCGGGCTGCGCGCCTGTGTTTTAAGGGGTGTAAACGCGCATGAAACACGACTTCCTCACATTGTTTCGATAAGGTTTTACAGCTGAGTCATTGCTGGCGGGCCGCCTGCTGGTGGCGGCGGTGGCCGAAGGTTCGTCCGGACTTTGTTTCTGTGAGAGGAAGACAAGACGCTGAAATGCTTAGACTTTTTCACTTCAAATATCACCAATTCCTGGGACATAATAAAGGGAGTGAAATTTTGGATGAGTCAATAAAAATGAAAAGTCCTCTACAAATATAATTGCTATGCATTTTGAAGTATGAATTTTTGTTAGAATTTCTCTTTTGTCGCTAAAGATATTTTCAATAAAGGTAAACTTCCTTTCTGGTGAACACGCGCGCTGGGTGCTGTGTGTGGCAGCAGGGTCAGGCGCAGCCCAGAGGGCGGCGGAGGGGGCGGTTGGGAAGCAGTGCCCGGTGGAAGCCCAGCTCGGTCTGCGCGGGGCGGTGACCCTCCGCGTCCCCTCTTCCTGGGTGACCGGCACTGGGTGCTGGGCTCTCTGTGAGGGGAGATGGCGTTTTCTGAGCAGGGTGACAGGCTTCGACCAGAGGCTGGCACGTCCGGCGTCGTGGCTCCGACGCTACCGCTGGGGCGCTGAGTGAGTGCCCGGCTTTGCGTTCAGGCGTGAAATGTCATTGGACATGGAGCCGGTCCCCCAAGGACACGAGGACATGAGCGCCGTGCAGGGCGGAGCGTGCAGAATGAGTTTTCTTGGTCCGCAGGCCGAGGGGTCGTGGACGGGTTCCATCCAGCGCAGAGGCCTGGCTGCGGCCGCGCTCACGCAATCTTGGCGGCCATGGCCCCGGCCCTGGCTCCCAGCGGGGACGCAGGAGACGGACCCAGCGGGGTGGGGAGGTCAGCCTCGGTGGGCAGTGAGGGACCCAGCAGGGTCTGCGGCAGAGGCTGCAGGGGGCGCCGGGGGTGGTGAGGGCTGGTGGCCGCACGCAGGCGCGCGCTCCTGCCGGCCTGGCCGTGGTCGCTGTTGCTAAGTCCATGTGCACGATCCGCGTGGCGCCCCGGCCACCTTCCCTGGCACTTAGCTTCCTGGGAGGAAACGTTGGAGGGAGCATGTTTCTCGCCATGAGGAGGGTGCAGGCTGGGTGTGAGCCGGCTGGAGGTGGGAATGAGAAAACCAAAGTGGGGCCACGCGGAAAGGAGGGCAGTCGGCAAGGCCGGGCTGGGTCTGGCTTCCGGGAGTTCTGCTCCAGCCCTCAGCTGTGACCGCGAACCAGGGCCCCGCGTGGCCAGCAGGTGGCGCCACCAGCCTCAGAAACCGCTCGGTTGTCCTGTGGATTAGGATTTTTTTTAATAAACATTTTATTGATTATGCGATTACAGTTGTCCCATTTTTTTCTTCCATTTTATTCCCCTCCACTCTGCACCATACTTTTGACATTAGCAACCAGCACGGGCGCATTGCCTAACCTGTTCTCGGAAGACTCGCGTTCCCTCACCTGTTACAGGCTGGCGTGCGGATTCCGTGAAAGGGAGGAAACAGGGTTTGAAATGAGGCCAAGACAGAGAAGTACGTCTCTGTGGTGACTGTGACGTGTGTACCGGCTGGTCACAGAGGAGGTGACTGAGAGGCCACCGGGCTCTGGGCTGCCGGGTCCCCATGCCCGAAAATCTCTGCCAGGCTGAGCAGCCTCTCTGACTCGGGGGGCGCCCTGTGCCGCAGGTAGTGGGCGTGGGCGGCCTTTGCAAACAGCTCGGGGAAGGAGAACGCCGAGGACTCGCCGTTGGCGTTTCCCGCGCACCTCGTGGACCTCGGGGGCGTGGGCTCCCCAGCACTGTGGCCCGGCCGTGTGGCGGTGTCTTCTGATCTGGCCTCGTCCCCGCCGGCCCCTCCGCGGCCTCCTGCTGGGCTGGCCCCGCGTTCTGGATCTGCTGGCTTCTCTTCTGTGGCGTCAGATGCTGCGCCGCTTTGGGACGGTGACAGCTCTTTGTTTTCCTCAGGGTCCCTGAGGCCAGCGTGACAGGAAAGGGGCTCCTGGGGCGCGGCCTTGTGTGTCCCTTGGGCCGGGTCAGTTGCCGGTGCTCTGGGGAAGGAGAGGGAAAGAAGAAAGTTCTCTGACGACCGATGAAGAGGCCCAGAGTTTGAGTTTTCAAGTTATCGGACCACGGCGCCTGCATGTGGTGTGAGCCGGCATAACGGCGGGTCAGCAGGGGGTGCCGGGTGGGGCTGGGTGTCCCTGTGCTGGAGAAGGGGCAGCGTTTCCTTGGGGGGGCAGTTGGAGGGACGGTGGGCGTGGCGGGGCCGTGGGTGTGCGCGCTGCGGAGGGGCCTCTCACCTGAGCCCCGTGGCCCGTGGGGCCCCACGCTCCCCTCCACGCGCCGGGTCTCCTGGTCGCTGCTGGAGTCCGTTCCGGAAAGAGGAGGGGCCCTTCCTCTTGGTGATCTCTGCTTGGAGTGAGCGAAGTGTCATGGGTTGAATCACACCCCCCTGCCCCCCCCTCCACGTCATATATGAGTCCTAACCCCCCGGAGCTCAGAAGGTGACCTTCTCTGGAGACAGGGCCTTGACGGAGGAGGTCACTCGGTGTCCCCGGCCTGGTGTGACTGGCGTCCACAAGGGAAGGGGGTTTGGGCAGGGACGCGTGCCGAGGGAAGGCGGCGAGGAGACGGGAGGGGGCGCCTCTGCGGGCGGGGGACAGGGGCCTCGGTGGGGCCTCCGCTCTCGGCCTCGGGGGGCCGGCCTGGCCACACCGTGATCTTGGGTCTCTGCCTTCAGCCACGGAGACCGTGAGTTCTGTTGTTGGAGCCCCGGTCCCTGCCTTTAGTGGTCACGGCCCCAAAACTTGAGGCGGAGCGAGGAGGAAGGGGAGCTGGCGTGCGCCTGGCCCAAGTCGCGGTGCGCAGGCGGGCCGGACAACGGACGGACACCAACAGGAACTCGGCCACGCGGTGTTTACCCAAAACGTGTTAACTAGGATTTAGAAATCCCTGATCAGAGATGTGAACCGGCCCGGCCGGGAGGTTTTGCTTGCAGATTTTATTTGTTGAGCAGCGTGTTTTCAAAAGAAACTAATCCCAGGGTGTAAGCGACACCGGGAACACCTAGAGCCCTCGAGTGTCCCCTGCCCTGCCTGCCCGGGGCCACCTGTCTCTTCCCGACAGTGACTTCATGCCGGCTCACAGTCGCTCGGCGAGTGACGGTTGACCAGGCGTAAAAAAGCAGGGAAGCCAACTCACCCCAGATGCAGCGAAAGGAAAGCGGAAGAAAAAGAAAGCGGGAAAGACAATGAAGGGTTTCCCCAGGGAGAGCCCCTCGGAAGACTGGGAGGACTGAGCATGGCCGCGGCAGGGGGGCTGTGCTGGGGGGCGGGGCTGTAGGGTCTGAGGGCGGGGCCCCGAGCGGGCCCTCCCCGCCCCACCCGGTCCGGTCCTTGGGGGCCCACCTTGCTGCAGCCGCTCCCGCGCTCTTTGGAGCTGCCTCTGCTCCCAGCTCAGCAGCCTCAGCTGGTGCCGGCAGGTCCGCTCCAGCCTCTGCAGGTGCTGGCGCAGCCGGGCCTCGGCCTGCCTGGCGTGTGTCCTCTCTGAGTCCAAGTGCTCACGCAGCGGTGCCCTGGCCGTGTGCCCCTCTGTCCCCCTCATGGCCCGCAGGCAGAGGGCCGGGCGCTCCTGGGCGCCACACGGGTCCGCGCAACACGGCTGGGAGCCTGGTCAGTGTGTGGATTCTGCGTCTGTCTTTTTTGAAAGATTTTAATTTATTTTTAGAGAGCGGAAGGGAGGGAGACAGAGGGGGAGAGAAAACATCCCTGTGTGGCTGCCCCTCGTGCGCCCCCTCCTGGGGACCTGGCCCGCAGCCCAGGCCTGGGCCCTGACCGGGAATCGAACCGGCGACCCTTTTGGGTGAAGTGCAGTCCCAGGGCACCGGGAGGATGGAGGGTGAGTCGCTCCCCGGACCTGCAGGCTCTGCCAGGAAATCGGCCCCAGCCCCGTGCCGGCTCCGTGCGGGACTGGGCGTCCCGGAGCCCTGGAGACCCCCTGGGACCTGGCAAGGCTCCTGGGCCCCGCCCGGCCGCCCTCCTGCCCCCAGGACCAAGCCCAGGGCGACCTCTCCCTCCGTGAGCTCCGTGGTGCTTGTCCCGCCCTGGGCCCGGGGCAGTTTCTGTTAAAGCCGCTTGCCGCGCAGCCGGAGCTGGGAGCCAAGGACAGGTGAGCAAGCGCTTACCTGCAAGCCTGGTCTTGGCCGCGAGGAGGCCTGGTCCTCCCCAGGTTGGGTTAAGGAGCTGTTTCCGCCAGGCCGCCTGCCTGGGGTATGGGCTGTGCCCCTCCCCGCTCAGGAATGCGGGCTCCCTGGTCAGAGCCCTCCCGGCTCTGAGTGGCTCTGGGCAGCGTCCAGCACCCGCCCCGCCCCGGCCCCGTGCCCATGGGAGCAAGAGTGAAAGCAGGGAGCGCCTGGCGCTCACCCCCACTTTCCTCCGCTTTGCCATTCCCCGCCCCGGCTTCTCAGAAACCAGGCCAGGCCCCTGAACAAGGCACCACGTTGTTGCTATTGTCCTCCGATGGGGCCTGTTTCTGCGGGACCCGAGGGGCCTGTCCGGCTGGCTGTCCCAGCCTTCCAGCTGCGCCTCCTGTGTTTGGGCGCTAACGGTCAAGGTTTCCCAAGCGGGGACCACGGAATCAGGCAGAGCGACACCCCACGTGCTCTGGGGGGTCCCCCTCCACGTGCTCTGGGGGGTCTTCGGAACAGGCGGCAGTGGGCCAGCCACGCCGGTCCGTGAACAAGGAGTATGTGGGGTTTTTCTGTTGCGGGGGCTTCACCTGAGAACAAGTGGTGCTAACGCTCGTTAGTGTCCCCGAGGGTTGCTGGAGCCTCCTGGGGGGACGCAGCCGGCCTGTCACCCCGCCACCAGCCAACAGGCTTTACTAGGGGACCCCCGTGGGGAGGGCAGGCCTGTCCCTTCCTTCTTTCCCGTGAGGGATCCTCTTCCCCCAGAATCTCGGTGCCCGGGCCACGGTGGGTTCCGGCAGGGTCACCAGACAGAGCGGGCTCCTCATCCCCATCTGGGGAGGTGATGGGAGCCAGAGCAGCCCCACTCCAACCTTGGTGGCCACCGGGGCTGAGGACAGCGAGGGGCGGCTCGGGAGGGCCTGTCTCCCCAGGCCATCGCGAGAGGAAGCTGACAGGGTGCTCCGCAGGAATGTCCTGAGCGTGGTGGTCCTGGGTGGGGGGCGGCAGCCGAGCCCCGAGTGCCAGCGGACCTCGGGGGCCCCCGGGGCCACACAGAGGAGCAGGGGGGTCACAGGAGGAAGCAGGAGCAGTGGCCTTGTCCTTGGGAGACTCTAGGTCAAATATGGCCATGCTTCCCCCGGGGCGCACACAGAGTCACGGGCAGGGCCGGAGGGGCTGGTGGCAGGCGAACGTCCCCCCGACAAGCACACGTCTTGAGAGCAGGACTCAGCAGGGCCCATGGATTGGGGCGGGTCGGGGGCGGACCAGAACGCCGTCCCTCAGGAGGGACCCTGCCTCGTCCGTCCCCACCTGCCCCCAGCCTCAGAGGGCGCAGCGTCGGCGGGGGGTGGCGGGGAAGGACACTGAGCCCACAGCCCCCAACCTGCCCTGGGGCTGGAGACAGAACAAGGACCGACGGAGCAGGTCGCCCTCCTTTGCTCCCGACCCTTGCCCCCCAGTGAGGCCGGGGCCAAATGCACGTGAGCTCGGAGAAGCAGCGCGGACTGGCCTGCGTCCAACCGCGGGGCCAGAAACGCGGGGAGCCCGCCTGACGCCCTCAGGGGGTCAGATGCAGAGGGATGGCAGAGAGACACTGTCACTTTCAGCCTCTAAGGAAGTCACAGGTCTGGGCAGCCGTCCTCGGCCCAGGGAGGGGGACTCACGGTGGCCCCAGGGACACCACTGGAGGCCCCGGTCAGTGTCCAAGTTGCCGAGAGAAGGCAGACTCGGCGTCCAGCGTCATGAAGACACTTGGAACGGGCGTACCTGCCTGAAATGCACTTCACCTGAATCTCACCAAACCCTGACGCTGGACGGCCGACTGCTGGATCCTCAAGAAAGCAAAGGACAAGCGGGAAGAGCCAAATCGGAACGTGGGTCTTTCGAACGGATTGTCCGGCAGACCAAGCGCAAGCGGCTGAAATGGAGAAAGGGCCCCTTGGCAGGTGTCAGTCCGCAGAGGCAGCCACCGGGCGGCGGGCGGGCTCCGGCAGGCCGCCCGCCCCCCCCCGCCCTCCGGCTGCGGAAGGCGCCAGCGGGCAGGGAGGCCTGGGCGTGGGCGTCAGAAGACCTCCCGCGTTCTTGCCGACGTCGCGGGTTCTTGCAATACTGTCGCGGTGCTTTGGTGCTTCGTCAGTGAAATCCTACCAGTCAGCGGCGCGGCCCGACGTCTGCGCGCGGAAGACGCCTGTCTGCTCTGAAATTCTCCAGCCAAAGAAGATGAAACTCCCCTCTGAAGAGCTGTCTGCCCAGGTGACAGAGCAGTGGTGGCGGATGCCAGCGTTTGGGCACAAGAGGGCTTACTGAGTCTTCCTAATTTTGCAAGTGTTTTCGATTTTCCATAATAAGTACAAGTTGGTGTTTTCTGAGACAACCAGGCTGGGGGGGGGGGGCATTACACCCCCAGGAGCGACTGTCATGCGTTTAGCTGACTTTCCCACAGAAATAATGGAAACCAGAAAATAGTGGACTGTCTTCAATATCCTGAAAGAAAATAAGCATTTGACCTAAAATTTGACACACAGTGAAATGAGGGCATTTTCAGACAAATCATCCAAAGGTAGAGTTTGTTCTCCACTAAATAAAGCTGACAGGATGTACTTGAGGCAGAAGGAAATGTCCCCAGAGGCAGGAGGGAGCGAAGGCAAAGCGCGGCGAGTGGGCGCGGCTGAGGGAGGCCAGCCGCCCGCCCTGCGCTGGGCGCAGGCGCTGAAGGGGCTGCAGGCAGCGCTGCTCCGGCCCTGGGGGGGGGGGTCCCCGAGTGCCCCGAGGCCCTGCCCTGCCTGCAGAGGGCGCAGGCGCCAGCTGCGGTCTACCCCTGTTGAGTAAGGGTCACATGGTCATTCTCGGGTAGGTGTTGCCAGGACCGAAGAGAGAAAGATGGGAAAACAACAAAATAAGATGGAAATCTCCGCCCAAACGCAGTGCTAAGTGTGTATGTATGTGCCTTGTGTTACAAGTCAGGAATTATCAGGCCGGCTGCTTGACCCCAACCGACACGACTGTAAGTACCCGTGCGCATGGAAGTAGTAAAATCCTGTGAAATTCCTCAGCCCACGATGATTGCTGAGCTGATCCAAATATTTTAATATGGCTCCTGAAACCTGGGCCTGAGATCGGGAGGCGAAAGGTGAAATACCCGTAAGAGAAAGCAGGCATCCCGCGTCACGGCGGAAAACCTCCGCTCCCCCAGGTCAGGCCCTGAGACACGCAGCTGAGAAGCAGGAGGGATGGGGGTACGCGGGCCGCACGGTGCCACCCCATCTGCCACCTCGGCCTCGTGGCTGGACGGAGACAATCTCCTCGCCTTTAAAGAAGGTTCCGGAAGCTGCCGCAGGGTTACTTCTGCTCACAGGCATTGGCTGGGCCTATTCGGAGGCAGGGTGCCGTTTTCTTGTGGGTGGCTACGTGCCCTTCTGAGCTCCTGGGTGTCGTTGCTTTGGAAGAAGAGGAGCTTAATCATCCTAGGAAGCAGCCAGGGTCTGGCGGGTCCCGCAGAGACGGCGCTGGGAGCCGCGGACGTTTGCCACCTGATGAGGGGCAGCCGGCAATCAGATGAGCGGGACCGGGTGGCGTTGTCATAAAGCCCCGCGTAGTCCCATGCGGCAGTGCCCGCTCACGAGGCGCTCGTCCAGGTGGTCATGTGCCAACGTGGATTTCTCAGACCCGACTTGAAACAGAGCGCAAGCCCGCGTGGGCCTGTGCCCTGAAGTCCAGGCACCCCACTCCCCTGACCGATGCCCGTTTGCAAACAGCCGGATCTGAGAGGGGAGCTCACACAGCGACGTCCAGGAGCGGGCCCCTCGCCCTGGCCACGGCGGCTCAGCCGGTTGGAGCATCGTCCTGCAGACCGCAGGGTAGCGGGTTCGATCCCTGGTCAGGGAGTGTGCGAGAAGCAGCTGATCAATGCCTCCCCCCTTTCCTCTTCCTCTCTCCCTAATGCAAAGAAAAACGTCCTTGGTGAGGTTTAAAAAAATCTGTCCCCGACCTGTTCTTGAAATTTCCTTGTTACTCATCTTGCCGCTCGCTCTCCCCACCTGCCCCGCGCTCTGTCCGAGGACGGCGTGAACCCCAGAGCTCTGCCCCCAGCCCGTGCTCCCTGCCGTGGCCCCCTGTCCACTTGGAGGACCAGGGACATCCTGGGGGGGGGGCGGACACTTCTCTCTGCGCAGGGACTCGGACACATTGTCACCACGAACGTCACTGTCATTACTATGTCCTTCGACACCGGCCGCTATTCCAAAGCAATTTACAAAGCTCAGCGCCCTTTAATGATGTACCGTTCTGTTTCTCCCACGGAGGGCGAACACCTTGAGAGAAGGGATTTTTAAATTTTCTTCCAAAAATTCACATTGGTTTCTTCTGCCTGTAGCTCAGGGCCCCGCCTTGTGCTAAGTGTCCAATAAATGTCTGCTGAACAAAGCGTTAATTAGGG